AGTGTCAATATTTGTGAAATGTTCAATTCTGATCTTATGAAACTTATGATCGCACGAAACATATTTGAAAACGATTCCATCTATATCTGAGGTTAGAATAATAATTATAATCCAAAATAAAACTAAAATAAAAAAATTAAGTCTTCTTATTACACAATTACCTCTTGTTTGTGGTAAATTGATGTTTGGGTATGGATCATACGGCATGTTTTGATGCCATCCTTGTTGTCCATTAGGGAAAAAAATGGGATACGTTATTGGATCGCAATGAGGGCTTCGACTGGATAGATTTACGCAATTGTGTCCAGATTTCGGATAGATTTGCAGATTACGTTCTGCTTGAGGTAAACAGTCTCTGGTTTCGAATATAATAGCAACCTCAGTACATCTTGGTTCATTTGTATCTTCTTAGATCTGTTGTTCGGTTATTGATAAATTCCAAGTGAATCTCCGGCATATTTGTTTGGTTTTGAACCAAAGAATGCAATAGCCTAAATGATTGAGCATATGGATTGATATTCACCATCATATCGGTTAATCAAACAGCAAAAAAAAATATTTTCTAACAACACATACCTTTCAGTATACTGACATACTTTAGTGGGCCATAAAATTTGAATAACAATGGATAATGGCTAATGAAGTGAAGTTTTTGGTATGCTGATCTCATTTTCAAGACATATTTGTACGAAATATTTTTCACTTATATTCTCCATCTCTTGATTATATTCGGCTGAAAATGAATACATCAAAAAGATGAATTTTTTTTTGTAGCAATATATAATTTGAACATTGATTTGTTTTCGATCATTTCAAGGAAATACTTCAATATCATTCTCATGATAAATTCCAATTTTTGGGAGCCTTTTTTTCCTCTTACTTTCAAATCTGATTGCTCCACATTGATCTCTATGTTATATTTCTCTATGCTATGCTAAATTTGAAAAATATTGATTTTCGATGAATTAATCTGAATTTTCGTAAAAATTGAATTCAAAAAAATTTCATCTTCAATAAATTTAATGAGATCTTTCGTTGGGAATAATTGATCATCGAATATGAAGGATTGATCAAATTTTTTGATGAGGCGATTGAACACGCTTATTATTTTGATGAACACGCTCATATTTGTATGAGGAGTTCCGATATATAGGCCCAAATTTTGCCGCATCCTGCCAGTAATGTAAAATATTATGAAATTTCGGAGTAATTGTGACATCTTTTATTGATGAATAGGAATCGACAATTACTTGGCCATAATTTTTTGTCATTGTATGACGATGACAAATAATTGCAAAGTCTTTGGCATTAGAATACAATGTAAATGCAACAGTACCCGGTTGCAAATGATGAGGAATTTTGCTCAGTATTTCATCAAATCGAACGGAAAATTCGTATTTCTTATAATGAGAAGTTAATATGTGAAAATTTATGAAAAAAAAAAATATTACCGATGCCGCTGTCCCTTTTATTTTAAACGATGATAGCTTTCCACGATGTGAGCCGATAATTTTGACTTTATCTTCTTTAAATGACACAGTTTGCATCGCTGTGTTGATCGATGAAACTTTCACGATTTTATCCAACTTGATTGTAAAAAACTTGATTTTAGAAAAGAAAAAACAAGAAAAGGAAAAAACAAAATTCTGACTCATTGCTAACGTTGTTCATAGACGGCGTTACGATTTTTTTTCCCGAATTCGAATTCGCAAAAGATTCGGGTCAATTTTTTCGGGTTAATAATCCTGTGTGATTATCGTCCATCAATAATTTTATCCTAGTTTTGTTTTCGATGAATGTAATTTGAATAAAAAACTTTGCTGAATCATTTTTTTTTTTTGAATCAGCTAAATGAACAAAACAAAAAATTCATTTCCCAGACCCAAAAGTTTCATCCGGGTTTTCAGAAGGAAACATTTCCGCGAAAAATTCATCCTGATTCAATGATTTTTCATTGATCTTGGATTATAAAAACCGAAACAAACACAGATTTTTCAAGAATTCTTCCTTCATCTTTTTTTTCAATGAAAAATTCATCGAAACAACGCAAAATAATAAAACAACAACGATGGTGGTGGCTGAAAGAAAATTCGTAAATTCATCATTCAAAAGAAAGAAAAAAATTGAATCATGTAAAGGTATGATTGATTATTCGAATGATTAAGCAGATAATTATCATCATAATCATCATCATTGATGACATCAACACAATCCAAAATCCGTTAAGTTGATTCGTTTTTTTTCATTTTCTATTTTTGATCTTTCGTAACTAATTAAAACGAAATCAAATCATTTTCCTTTTTTTTCTTTTCATTCAAAGTCAATGCTTCGATTCAGTTTTTTCATAATTACCGATATATTTTTTTTTGTCCGAAAAAAACTTTAGATTTTCAACGAAATTCCGATACGATTATCGGCTTTGTGTGTGTGCCAAAGTTGTTCAACAAAAAAAGGTAATTTCAAATTCCCGAAAAAAATGGTTGCCAGTGAAGCTGGATTTGAAATCTGTTCGGACAATGAACAACAGCAACAACAACAATATGATGGTCATCAAGCATCATGTTTTAATGAAAATTTTGATAAAAATTTTCAATCATCAATGATGACAGCAATTGATTCATCCTCATCATCCGCATCATCGCCACCACCATCACCAACATCAATATTACGAACAAAAAATCTGGAACCGGATTCAGAATCATTACCAGAAGTTCCAGAATCATCAAATTCATTGTCATCCGTATCATCATTTTTGGATCCTTATCATACTGTAAATAATAATCAGGAAAATAATCATCATTATAATCATCAATCATACCCAAAATCATATAAATTCTTACATAAACGACGACGACAACAACGACGTAAACATATAATAAACATTAATAATGATAATTTCAATAAAATTGATCAAATAACGGATACAATTTGCGATGATCAACAACAACAACAACAACAAAATCATAACAAATCAAATAATTCGAATGATTCAATACAAACCAGAGATGAATATTATTCATATGATTCACGTTCAATGATTGAACCATCATTTGTTATAAGATTTTTATGCTATTTTAGCTATTTGATTCTGATAATTTTCGGTTATTTTCGTATGTTTATGGAATGGTTAAATCTTGGTGATTATAATACAATCATCGAACATAATCGAAAGGTTTGTTTTGTTTTTTTTCGAATAGGGGAAATGATTGTTTCTATATCGATAATATCGAACCAAAAAACAATCGATTAATTTTTTGTTGTTTTTTTTCCCCGTTCGAAAGGATTATCGACCATTATATAATAGTTGGCAAGCATTTTTTACCCGTTATATTTATCGTCGTGTTGCTGATATATTTTCCATACCAATAACCGGAAATCCTGGTGGAATTGTAACAGTTTTAGAACGAAAATCTAATGATCGAAATTTTACATTTAAATTAACTGGAAAACAAAATAATTGTATTAATCTGGCATCATATGATTATCTGGGATTTTCACGTCAAAGTTCAAATGATCCATCAATTGAACAAGCTATACGAAAATATGGTGTTAGTGTTAATGCTATACATGAAATTGGTTAGTGTGATAATTTTTAAAAATAAAATTTTTTTTTAAAAAAAACGTTATCCATTTTCTTCTTTTTTATCAATTCACAAGGAATGTTAAATTTACATCAAGAATTGGAAGAAAAATTTGCCAAATTTTTACAAGTAGAATCATGTATTGTATTTGGTATGGGTTTTGCAACAAATTCAACAAATATTCCATCATTAGCCGATAAAGATTGTTTAATATTAACTGATCGTCATAGTCATGCATCAGCAAAATCTGGTATCTATTTATCTGGAGCAAAATTTGATTACTTTGAACATAATGGTAAGAATTTTTTATGAATAATAAATAAATAAAATATAATCAATTAATCAACATTGTTTTCTTTTTTTCCCCCATTAGATTGTAATGATTTAGAAAAGAAAATCTGTCAGGCAATTTTGAATGGTAATCCAAATAATAATGGAAAACCATGGAAAAAGATAATCATTATTGTTGAAGGTGTTTATAGTATGGAAGGAACTATTGTTGATCTACCCAGATTGATTGAATTAAAACGAAAATATAAATGCTATCTATATGTAGATGAAGCACATAGTATTGGTGCTGTTGGACCAAATGGTCGTGGTATTGTTGATTATTTTGGTTGTAATCCTTCTGATGTTGATCTTTTAATGGGTACAATGACAAAAAGTTTTGCTGCTGCTGGTGGTTATTTAGCTGGACGTAAACAATTAATCAATCATATACGACAATATTCATTATCAAATTATGCTGGTAGTATATCGGCACCGATTGCTCAACAAATAATCAATACATTATCAATATTATCATATAAAAATCCAAATGAAATGATCGATACTGAAGGTTTGATTTTTTTTTGGTTGTTATTTTGATTTTGACTAATTTTTTTTTCTTGACAGGACAACAACGTATTGCACAATTATTATCAAATACACATTATATGCGTGATCGTCTTAAACATTTAGGTTTTATAATTGCCGGTCATTATGATTCACCAGTTATACCGATAATGATTTATATACCGGCAAAAATTGGTTCAGTTGTACGAATGGCTGTACAAAATGGTTTAGCATTAGTTTGTGCTGGTTATCCGGCTACATCATTAACAACAAATCGTATACGTCTTTGTATGACTGCACAACATTCACGTGAAACATTAGATCAAGCTATACAAATTCTTAGTATGATTGGTGATGTTCATCATATTAAATATCAACGTTATGATGTTCTATGAAACAAAACAAAACAAACAAACAAAAAAAAAATATTTACAAAAATTAATAAAAAATTAAAAAAAACTAATTTTTAAAAGGTTTAATTCGGTCAAAATTTCAGTCAATTTTCAATTCAAATCAAAGATTATCAGATAATGTAGGTAAGGAATGAAAATGATCATCATGTTTTTGTTTGTTGTTGGAAATGTCTTAATCGAAAATCAATTCAATACATACTTATTTTTTGGTTTTTGTTAATCATTTGGAATCCTAAATACAAAATGAACGAGAAAAAAAAGAAGAAAATTTAACAATTTCAAATCACAATTTTCAATTTTAAAATATAAAGTTATTATTAATGAAAATAATCAGAATAATTAAGTATGTTTTTCCATCAATACATAATTCAGATAATGTAAGTAAGGAATTGACGATTCATCATTTTCAAAGAATAAAAAGTTTAATTTTTCAAAAAAAAAATCTTACTTTGCTCAAACCAAACACTGCAACAACAACAAACCACGTGGAGGAAATGAATCCAGAATTGTTGGCGAGCTCGCATGCAGGACGAATTTCGCAGACGAAAATTTAATCGATTGTTGATAATCGATTCTATCATGCACTTGGGATTCGATACCTGGTATTCGGCTGGTTCAATTTTTGAATTGGATTTTTTTTTTTAAATGATTCATTTTTTCAAAATTTTTTGCCAATTTTAATTAATTTCGGAAAAATGTTTAAAATCCATAAATATCAATTGATGGCCATACGTTCATGGCTACGATTATATCGTCGATTTCAATCGTCACAATCCTATACACAAACATTAAATTTACCACAAAGTAATTTTCCAATGAAACATTCACGTAAATTAGAGCTTGAAATTGAACAACAACAGGTAATTTAATCGGTTTTATCATCATCAGTTTAAAATAATTTTTATTGTCTTTTTTGTAGAATATAAAATTTGAAAATTTATTTGGAATATCATCATCCGAACAACAAAAATGTGGAAAATTCGTTTTACATGATGGTCCACCATATGCAAATGGTGATGCACATTTTGGTCATGCCATCAATCGAGTTCGGTGTTTGTCTTTTGTTTTTTTTTGCATTCATTTCTTTTGAATTTTGATTAATTTTTTTGTTTTTGTTTTCTTAGATTCTCAAAGATATTATAGTCAAAAGAAAATTAATGGAAAATTATGATGTTGATTTTCGTCCCGGTTGGGATTGTCATGGATTACCAATCGAATTGAAAGCAATACCGAATTCAAATTCAAATTCAAATGAACTGGATCCATTGGAAATACGTGATCGTGCACGACGTTTAGCATTCAATGCAATCGATCGTCAACGACAAGCATTTAATCAATGGTTTTTATCGGCCAATTGGTCCGGTATTTATCGAACAATCGATCTGGATTATTCTATTCGTGAATTGAATGCATTTTATTCAATGTACAAAAATGGTTTAATTTTTCGTGATCGTATGCCTGTTTATTGGTCACCATCCACAAGAACTGCATTAGCCGAAGCTGAACTTCAATATCAACCAGATCATTTATCTCGTGCTGCATTTATACGATACCCAGTTGTTGATCAACAATATGATGCCTTAATTTGGACAACAACACCATGGACATTGTTGGCCAATGAAGCAATTGCTTTTGGTGAACGAATGAATTATTGCCTTATCCAAATTGAAGGTGATAATAATCAACGTCCATTATTAGTTGCACGAGAAAATCTTCCAGTAATTCAGGAAATGTTTAAAAATCGCCATATTCAAATTGTTAAAGATTCAATTTGTGAATTTGAAAATTTTCATTATCAAGATCCAATTAATGGTAAATGTAAATCATTTATATCAAGTAAATTGGTAACATCATCAAAAGGTACTGGTCTTATTCATATTGCACCCGATCATGGACAAGATGATTTTAAATTAATGCGACAATATTCGAATGCTAGTAATAAAGAATCGATTGTAAAAGAATCGATTGTTGATGATGAAGGTCGATTACGATTACCGAATAATCAATCTTCTATATCAATAATCGATGATAATCAAGCATCAAATTATGTTCTACAGAATTTATTACCAAAAGAATCTATTCTATATGAACATGATTATTTACATAGTTATCCATATGATTGGCGTAGTTCAAAACCGGTTATTATAAAACCATCGGATCAATGGTTTTTAAATTTAGAAAAATTAATTCCAAAATGTTTATCAGCATTAAATGATGTTCGATTTTATCCGGAATTATTACGAAAAGAAATGTTAAATCAATTATCAACAAGACCTAATTGGTGTCTATCGAGACAACGAAAATATGGTGTACCAATACCAGTATTTTTTGATCAAAAAACTGGCCAACCAATTTTGAATGATAAAATTTTTCATACTTTAATGAAGAAATTCATACATGAAGGTTCATTAGATATATGGTGGAAACAATCACCATCTGAATTATTGGCCGAATGTTCAGATTGTAATTCATTGGATCTAGTCAATTTGAAAAAAAGTGAAGATATTTTGGATATTTGGTTTGATTCTGGTTGTAGTTGGTTAACTGTTTTGGATTCAAATCAAATTGCTGATCTTTATTTGGAAGGTGTTGATCAAATTCGTGGCTGGTTTCAATCATCATTAATAACATCGGTTGCATTACGTGGCCATGCACCATATCGTTCGATTATAATACATGGATTTGCACTTGATGGTGATGGTAAAAAAATGAGTAAATCAGTGGGAAATGTTATCAATCCAATGGATATTGTTAATGGTAATGCATTTCAAACAAATCAACAACAACAACAATCAAAAAAGAAACTATCCGGTAATGATTGTGGTGTTGATGGTCTACGTCTTTGGATTGCACGTAATGCATGTACACATAATGATGTAAATGTTGTTTTAAATGAATTTCAAAATGATATTCCAACAATTTTAAATCGTTTTCGTAATACATATCGATTTATACTTGGTTATTTGACAAAATATTCACCAACAGATCAATCATTTTTAATTGATTTTTCAAATAATCAACAACAATCGATACCATTGATTGATCAATATCTTTTATATAAAACATTAAAATTTGATCAACAAGCAAGAAAATATTATGATGATTATCGTCTGGGGGATCTTATCGAAACGATGATACATTATTTTAATTATGAATTTTCAACATTTTACTTATCAAGGATTAAAGATCGTTTGTATTGTGATCCAATCGAATCAATGGATGTTCGATCAATTTTAACTGTTTTTCATTATGTATATAATACTGTTGGATTTCATATGGCACCAATATTACCACATTTAATTCTTGAATGTCAAAATTATTATCCATTCGATCACCAAGCTGTTGTTGGTAATGATAATGGAATGATGATGAATCCAGATGAATCAGAATTATTACTGAAACAATTCAAATTAATACAATCAATAATTGGACGTATCAATGAATGGGCACAATCAAAACATCGTTTAATCGATTTGGATTGTTATTTATCGATAACGAAAAATCATCCAAATTCAAATGAAATTTTCGAAACATTTCAACGATTTCAACCGAATTTATTATCGAAAAATATGATGGAAAATCGTTCAGATTTAGTTGAATGTTTACAAGTTGCACGGGTATCATTTGGAATTGATGAATCGAACGATAATAATAATCGATATGATGAATGTTGTCTGGAATTACGTGATACGATACTATCGAATACTATCGATTCGAATCTTAACGGTAATGACGATGATGATGATGATGATGATTGTCAACTTCGAATCTATTTAAAACGAACCGAAAATCAACAATGTCCAAGATGTCGTCGTTTTTCAATGATAAATGCTGATAATAATCAAAATCTTTGTGTTCGATGTAATTTTATAATGTTACATCATAAATGATCAAAGAAAGAAAGAAAAAAAGTAAGCAAAAATCATGTTCACACTACACACACAAAACAAAAAAAATTTTTTTTTGTTTTTTAATTTTCAAAATTTAGTTATTTAAAATCATTATTATTATCATCATTTATATAAATTGTATAAATTACACAGCAAGCGAACAAGAATAAGGGAAAAGAAAGAAAAAGAAGATTACTGGGGGATGAACAACAACCACCAAACTTGTTAAGGAATGTTTAACGAAAAGATTTTCTTATAAATAAAATAAAATAAAAATTGGATAGGTGTTTGAAGGAATGATTTGTAAAGAAAGATTTTGTTTGTTTGTTTGTTTGGAATTTTTGAAAATTAATTAATAATTTTAAAATTTTTGACGATCAAATTGGATCGGCAGTGATACTGTTTTGTTTTGTTTTGTTTTTTTCTTATTTGATGAACAAGATGTGAACAAATAAAATCGATTGAATGATGTCGATGATGATGAAAATGTTTCTTTTGATAAAACCGTTGAAGACTAGGTTATTATTGAGATGATGATGAAGATTGAAAAAGGATGATGATTTGCTGTGTGTGTGTTTTTTGTTGTGGTCCAGCCAACATTACATGATTTAGGTATTTTGCTGTTGTTGGGAAAAATCGATTTGCTGCCTCAGTGTTTCTGTCATGATTTGGAAAGGGAAATTTTGTTTGTTTGTTTTAGTTTCAATAAAATTGTTGTTCAGTGTTTTTTTTGTGGTATGTGATATGCTGGATGTTGAATGTTGAAGAAAACGAAGACTGAAATAATTTCTTTTCTTAAAAAAATGATGTTCCTACAGATGTAATTAATTATAGAATAGAAAAAAATTTTAAAAAACATTTTTTGTTTGTTTTTGTTTTTTTGTTGAACTAATCATCATTGCCGTTGATTATTATTATTGATGTTTTTTTATGGTTATTAGATTTTAGGGACTTGTTGGTGAATATGGTTGTTGACCGGTACCACCACCGGCTTGAAATCTCATTTCATCTCGATTTGCTCTGCAAAATTGAAAAAAGATTTACATTTTTTCCAACATAGGGATTTATAATTACAACTTACTTTCGTCCAAGAACAATTTTACCATAAAGTGCTGCAATAGCAGCATTTGCCAAAAAACCAAGTATAAAAAAGAAACCCATACAACCGAATGATAGGCCAACAATGAATGGAATGAGAGCCAAACTAAATTGAAAAAATTGGATAAAATTGATTGATTGAAAATGAAAATTAAAAAAAATTCATCAACTTACGCTGCATAGAATGCTCCTTTAAACCAATATGGTTTGCTTTCAACAAACATACCAATTGAACGAGCAAAGGCTAAAAATGGTACAAATGATGGTGCTTCAATCGATAATATTATACCCGATGCAATTCTAAATCAAATTATGAAAAATGATTAATGAAAATGGGAAAACTTTTAAAACAAGAAAAAAACATACAATTGTAATACACCGGGTAAAATACAGCCATAATTAATCGGACTAATTGCTGTTATAATACCACATATGACCAAAAATATTGCCAATCCTGTTGTTATTTGGCTTGACCATGATTCAACCCACCTGGTTAAGATTCAAAAATAGAATCAAAAATTAATTAATTTTGTAAAATTTTGTATCATACCATGTAGATTGTGGTCCTTGACCATTAGCATTCGGTGACATTGGATCCATCATTTTTTTTTGTAATTTTATTTTGTTTTATTTTTCAATGATAATTTATGATTGATCGATTTATAAATCGAACGATGACTTTGATGAAACACGTTTAACCAAAAGAGAGCTAAAAAATATAGAACAGTGACATACACAAAAGCAATGATAATTTGTTTGTTGTTTGGCAGAAAAAAAAGAAGGCAGAAAAGTTATTTTATCGTTGATTTTCAATGTTGAAAATTATCAAAACACCAAACACAGATTCACAGAAACTAGGCTGATTGACTGATTGAATTTTCAAACAAACCAAAAACCAAAAAACGAAAAAAGAGGAAAAGATAAAAATCAATCGATCAACGCCAATGAACAACACAGAGATCAGATAGATCAGATATCAATGATGATGATGATATTATCAGATCATTTACCACCCACACAAACCAAAAACCAAAAAAACAGACAAATCAATGACACAAAGTCTATTGGAATTTTTAATGTGTCGATGATGATGATGATGATGGAATCAGAATCAGAATCAGCAGCAGCAGCACATCCAATGATAAAAATAATGAATCCAACAGAAAAAATATTGTCAAAGTTTTTTTTTCAACAAAAGAATACTTTTTTTTTATTATAATAAACACCACCAAACAGACAGAGAGATAGATGGACTGACCGAATATAAAATATATAATTTTTTTTTTTTTGCTGTTAATGAATTTGGTAGTGGTATTTGGAAATGTAGTAACCGGGAGTGGAATGGAGGGGTAGCTTTTTTTCTTTTCTTGGATGATACCCTCTCTGTCTATTGATTTACCCGTTTGGATTATTTCCCGGTAGTAGTGGTATTGATATTCGATATGTAAAGAATCGTAGTAGTAGCAATAAAATATGAAAAGAATTGGTTGTTATGTAATTTGAAGATGAACTGTTATTTGTTTTGCATAAAAAATAAAAATAAAAAGTCCTGTTCATAAAGTAGATGAAATTTGTTTTTGTAAAAAAAAAGTTTTATTTAAAAAAAGAAATTAATTAATTATATCACATTTAGAAAGTTTACAAAAAAAATAGATGATAATATTGTTTTTACAAATGATAATTTGTTACAAAAATTGAGTGAATACAAAAATTACAAATTACAAGAAAAATATTGCGAATTACAAATTACAAAATTACAAAATACAAGATACAAATTACAAATTCATCCAATACAATGAAAATCTTCATCCGAAACAAGTAAACGTTGACGACGTAGAAAAAAAATTGTTTTCAATTTTTGTTTCAAACGTAAACGTTTAAATTGTTTACGTTGTTGTTCTTGATTATCAATAGATTTTACAATACGATTTAAAAATAGATTGAAAAATGGTTTTAAATCTTTTGTTGTTGATCCACTATGAATGATGAACGAACGTGTACCAGTTGGTAATGATTTTTGTACATAATCATTAAGTAATTGTTCACTAATATCACGATGATATAATTTTGATGTTTTTGCATATGCCAATATGTAGATTGGTTTTTGATAATCAGGATTATTGGATAGGAATTCTGTTTTTGGGTTAGCGAAAAAAAAAGATTAATATCGGGTAAGAATTACAAAAAAGAATACAACTTACTTTCAATCCAATATTTCATTTTTAAAAATGAACCAACCGAATGTAATGAACAAACACCAACAATTGCTTCAGTATTTTGCCAATAAATCGATGCTAAACGATCATAACGTTCAAAATTAATGACAAAATTCCATATATCCAAAAATATATGATTATTTTGATGACGATATGGTATAGTGTTTAATTGTACACCCATTGCTGGTTGTTGTCCACAACGATGTTGACCAATTGCACGACAATTTTCATAGGCGAAGAAAAAATTTAATTTCGATGAATTCGGTAATGCACCAAGTAGCAATATTTTTGGATTTTTCGGACAATCGGTATTTCTTGATGATGATGATTTTCGGGATTTGAAATTGAAGATAGTCATTATGACGGAGTATAAAGAAAATGATTTTGACGAAAAAAGTAAAAATGATTTGCAACGAGAAACGTAATGTGACTGGTTGAAATGTGAAATGATAAAACTGACCACTGGACCCAGGGTTTATATATGAAATTTTTAGTTTTTGGTCAAATGTGATAACGAACATAAGCGTACGTACAGTAGATTCTTATCATGTACGTACGTACAGTAGGCGATTCTTATCGCACAAGCACACACACACACACACACTTTGACCTTATCATGACATGATAACACGTAATCAACGTATAGCTTATCGATATCAGCATATCGATCCATTTGTTGATTGTGCATGGCTTCATAGGGTTAATAGGTGATAAGAATTAGGATAAGAAATGAGAAAAAAAAGTACAAACGTTTGATCCACACACTTGGATTAAGATTAGCAAGGTTTTTATTGCTTTGTTCGTTTTTTCTAAAACATTTTTTTCTTAAAACTTAAACAAAGCAAAAATCAACAGGCTAGTATTCGATTGGCGCCTAAACTAAAACACAAAACACAAAGCAAAAATCAAATTGCGTAATCCATAGATGCCAAGATGATGAAAAAAAGTAAGAAAAGAAGAAGGCAAAAACCAGTTTTGATTGGCGCCAAAAATTATTATTGTATTTTAGAATTTGAAAGGCCACCTAGCGGCCATACTTTTAAACATTGTTTCGAAGCAATGTTTTTTGGGCGCCGGTTTTATTTTCGCGCGCGTTTTTCACTTGCCATGTGAAATCATAAACACAAACACACGTTTTTGATTTGTACAAAAACAAAAACCCGAAACCAAAAAGGTTTTTTTACCGGTAAATTTATTCTGATTTCCCCAGCCCAATTAATAATAAAAATTACAAAATATTAAAAATTCAATAAGATAATCAATAAGTAAATTGCCAAACCCAGTGTTATAACAGTGAAAAAAAGTATCCCAAATGAAATTTCAACCAAATTCTTGAAAAAAACGTAAAATTTGTAGCAAATATGGATTCAAATCTTCAATCAACCGCCATAGATTGTTGACCATAATGAATTTTGATGATAACATAATCATTGTTGATGAATAATGAACGATTCTTGATGAATTACCAATGATGATAAACCGCTGAATTGATGATGATGGCCCAAAATCGATGATATTGAAAGAAATATCGGGTAGTTTTACATAAGTGGTAGCGGCGAAATAATTGAAAAAAAATAGAAGAATAATGAAAGGCAACGATACCAAGTTGAAAAAGTAGAATTAGTTTTTTTTTATTTAATTCAAAATCTTGGAGATCCTGAGTGAAGCTGTTTTTCGATTCGATTCGATTTGAAGAATAAAAAGTTGAAAATCTGATGAAAAATTCGATGAAAGAGTTGAACACAATTAGAAAAATTCGAGATCATCCGTTCGATGCATTTGATGAGAAAGGAAGGACGGAAAAAGGAAACCGATGATATACCCGGGATGATGATGAGAATAACCGTGGAAAAAAAAAAGAAAACCCCCCCAAGATTTTGATGTTGATAATGATGAAGAATAATGAATTTCGAATGTTTTTTTCGGCTTTTTATATACTCACGACAACGACGATGATGATGTAATTCGAAAGATGTTAATCTTTAAGTGGGAAAACTGATTCAGGCGTGGTCAAATGATGATGATAATTTCAAATCAACCAATCCGATCGATGGGCGGTAAAATTAAAAAATGCGCCAAATTTTTTTTTTGCTAAATGTTTTTACGCATGCGCAGATATACGTATTGAAATTGAGTAAAAATACTTGAATCTGATTGGTTAAACGTTTGTACACCATTTCTGTCTGATTTTTTTTCATTTATAAAGCCAATGACAAAATTGCTCACTCTTTTGATTTTCTTTTCATTGTTGTTTTGTCTCTATCCTGAAAAATTCATCTTTTTTTCGATTTTTGAATTCTTACTTTTCACCCGAATTTATTTGTTGAATAAATTTTTTGGCATACATTAATTATGGCACCACCAAGTACCGGAAAAGCTGTTAAAAAATCGGGTAAAGCACAAAAATCTGTACGTGTTACGGATAAAAAGAAAAAACATCGCCGTCGTAAAGAATCATTTTCAATTTATATTTATAAAGTTTTGAAACAAGTACATCCAGATACTGGAATATCATCCAAAGCAATGTCTATTATGAATTCATTTGTTAATGATATTTTTGAACGTATTGCTGCCGAATCATCACGATTATCGCATTATAATAAACGTACTACAATTACAAGTCGTGAAGTACAAACAGCCGTACGACTTTTATTGCCTGGTGAATTGGCTAAACATGCTGTATCCGAAGGTACAAAAGCTGTTACTAAATATACATCAAGTAAATAAAATTCTTTGGTATAAAAGATATCGCGGTCACACATCTTCAATTCTATGCACACACATACACACACTCAATTGCCACGATCATTGCTAATTTTTTCATTTGATTCTTTTGGACCATTTTCTCTTGTCGTCGTTTTTTGATTTTCAACAACAAAAACAAAGGCCATTAATGGCTATTATTATCTAATCTTTCCCATCTTTTTTTCCCTTTTGATTTGATATATCTAATTACTTGATTTAATATAATAATAAATGTGAAACAAACTTTTTTTTCTTCCAAATTTTTGATTTTTCAAAAAAAAAAAATTTAAATGTTAAGAAATTGATCAGAAAAACAAAGAAAGGTTTTCTGCCCTGCTCAAATCTATATCTACCTGAGCGGGTCATTGATTTGGTTGAATTAGACAAAACAGAATTTTCGGGTTTTTTCACCCGAATTATCAACCTTGGTAATGGTGGTATTATACTAATACAAATTTTATTTTATTTTAATTTTTTTTGAAAATAATTTTTAAAAAGATTCACAAATGATAATGATGATAACAATGATAAGAAAATTATGTTTAGAATTATTGATAATGATGATGATGATCAACATTTTTAAAATAAAAGAAATTCGTCAAATTATCGATTGATCAATTTTAGATTATTCTTAAAAATTTTACAAAGAGAAAAAAAATTTAAATATAGTGATTTTTTCTGTTGAAGAGAATGTGAAAGACCAAAATTGTCAGGAAAGGTGGGTGAATAGTTGTGGTTGGTTTGATGGTGTAGAATATGAGTGAATTTTTTTCTTCTTCAATGATTTGATGATGGCTGATTATTTTTATCATTATTATTATTATTATTATTAAGATAGGTTTTAAAATGTTCCAAACGTTGTTTAGCTAATTCTACAGAACGTTTTCCATCATCAATTTTACGTATTCGTATTGGTTGTTGTTGTGATTGATAATAATTACGAAATTTTTCATAACGTAATTCATTTATCTGTAATTGTTTAGCTGTATGATCACAATAAACTTGTAAATCTTCATTATTATCAATGATTGGTATGGTTGTTGTTGTTGTCGAATCGATTTCAGTATTATTAATCTGTCGTACACGAAGTGGAAAATCTTTCATTGTTGTTCGATGTATTAATTCGGGAATTCGACATTGTTGTTGTTGTGGTGAATGATGAATATGATTTTCTTCACCATTCGTAGCTCCATTATTATCGAATACGGTTAATGGACTTTTTACTTCTAATTTTGAATCATTTAACAATGATACTGATGATGATTGTTGTGGTGTTGATGTTGCTGTTGAATTAGTTGTACCTGATTTATCAAATTTTTGTCGTAATGCTTTCTGAACATAATATGATAATTCTGATTCATCTTTATTCTGTATGAGTGTAAAATGATCCAATATTGCATCACCTTTAAGGCTTACAATAAAAAATAGAAGCGTTTTGATTGTACGTAATGGTAGATCATCTTTATGATTTAAATTCCACCATGATCCTTTTGGAAAAGGAAAAAAAATTAAATTAATAAATTATCAATTTTAGACAAACCAAAAAAAACACTTACTTGGATAACTTTTGAAAAATAAATGAGATTCATAAAGAATTTGATCAATATTTAAATGTTCATAATAACGTTCTTCCAATGTTTTTGTTACACGCCATAAAAATTTCATTGTTATACCAAGATATTTATCCGATTGTTCAACACTTGGTGAACCAACATAATCATGTAACATACGTATTAATGCAGCAAATAGATTTGTAGCATCAGCACCAGCCATTATAATACCGATCAAATAATTGGTTGAATTGAATATAGTTTGATTATGACGCATACCAGCAAAATAACTAAGTAGATGAGTGATCAATTCACGAACAGTATCACGGCTAACTAATTTTCCTAATGGTGAACGAAATACTTTGTTCAATAAAGATGAAATTGTTCGAAATAGATGTATGGCACGTTCACGACGTTCAGCCAATAATTGATCATCACTTGATTCGGCATCACAATTTTCATCGGTTGTTTGTTGTTGTTCTGGTGGATAATGATTCGATAGAAATAAACGAAATTGTTTATTACAGAGAATAATTAGTTGATCAATTTTCGGTTCCAAATATCGTTGATTATTATCTAAATCTTTCATGGCAACATTTAATAATTGGGCTGCTTCGATAGCTTGTTGAAGATCAGCAGATCCAAGTTGTTGAAATAATTGATTAAATTTTCTTAATAATTCGGGATTTAAATTCGTTGGTGATCTATGATTGATGCCACCATTCATTCGTAATGGTGTAATATGACCATTCGAACGATTCGAATCTGAACTTGATGAACGAACAGTAGAAGCATTAGTTGATGGTGATGATCTATTTGTTGGACGATAACGAATAGATTCGGGCAAATTTAATGCATGTTTGATACGTTGTTGTAATTCATTATCATTATTATCATCATCAGTTGTATAAACATCTGAAGTTTCTGTTCCACTTGTTAATCGGTGATTATTCGATACATACGAATCAGAAGTTGCTGATGATAATATTCCAGGATGATGATCAACACCATTTTTTGTTGGAACAATCATTGTTTCTGATTCAGTTTCAGTATCTGTAGTAGTAGTTGTTGTTGTTGAAAATGGTCTTGTTGTAGGCGGCGGTGGTGTTGAAAATTTTAATTCTTGTTGTGGTTGTTGTAATTGAGTACGAAGACGAGATGGAGTAAAATTTCCACCACTTTGGCCACGACGTAATAGATTTGATGGTGTTTTTGATGATTTAGTTAATGTTGCACCATCATATAAAAGATTTGAAGAATTTGATGGTGGTGTCATTTTTGATCCTTCAAAATCTGTAGGTGCTGCAAGACCACTACCACGACTACCATTAGTACCTATACGACCAGATATTGTTGGCAATCCGGATGTTGCGGTACCACCATTTGATTGTGAAGGTTCTATTTGAGAATATTTTTCGAAAAGGTTATAAACAAAAATAGAATCAGTAAAACTAACCTGATGTATGATTCGAATGTTGAGTTTGAGCTGAATTAGCCGATGGTGGTGGACGATTTTTCGATGCACGTTTTATTCGTTCTTCAACAAGACTCATATCTTTATCCGAAAGTGAACCAATCAATTTGAATACACGTTCACCTTCGAGAAAATATACCTGTACAATACAGGATAAAGCACCATTTCGTACACCATTATCACGTTCGGAAATAAATTTAGCCAAATCTTTAATCATAGCTAAACTATTTGGTGGCTGAAATATTGACATTCCACGTTGTTCAATAAGTTGACCAATCTCTTCCAAACAAGTTGCTCTTTGACGAGAATTTTTCGATTGAAGTCCAGTAAAAAGATGGCCAAATATTTTTGATGCCGAATAAATATTTCGCATTTTGGCAATAATATCATGCACTTTATGTCTAACAGCATCTTTTGGATCACCAAATTTCAATACCAAATATGGTAGAAAAGAATTGGCTTCCATATCCGATAATTGATATTGATATGGATCAGCACAGATACTGAATATAACCAACAATAATTCCAATGCTTTAGTAATGACCGATGGATTTGTATCGAAAAATCTTAAGGCAAACCATTTGAGAATTAAATCCAAGTTAGCAATAACAATCGGATTATCTTCGGATGAATTTTTATGAAAAAAATCTCTCATCAAATCAATAGCTTTGATATGAAATTTAAAATCCGAATGAAAACAATAAGTAATCAATTGTGGTTGCCATTCGGCTACAGTCATTTGTTCACGAAGAAGTTGATAAAATTCTTCACGTGGTGTAGTAAAATTCCAACGTAAAACTTTCAATGCTTTTTCATCAGCAAATCGTTGTTCTTTTGCTTTCAATTGTCCATTCATTAATGGACCTTGTGAATCGGATTCATTTTGACCGGTTTTCTTTGCCGATGATGTTGAACCTGAAGCAATGGAACTAGCCGAACCAGATTCACCATTACCACCACCAGCACGTAAATTAGATGTTGATGAACCTTTCTTAAGACGTGATCCACTTGAAGTTTTAGTAATACCACCACTACGAATTGATTTTGTTGTAGATTGATTATCTGAACCAGAACCACTTGCCGAATTAATGGCACCAATTCGAGATTTAGCTGTTCCAGCAATTTTCGATTTCATTTTTGTTGTACCGGCTGATTGTGATTGTTGTGGTGGTGGTGGAAGATCAAGATCATCAAGTGATTCACTGGATACATTTTTTGGCATTGTTTTTGCAACAGGTCTACTTATTGTTGCTTTTTTACCGGCTGGTGCTGTTTTTGGCTTTACACAAGCCGATGTTTTAGCTGAATTGGTTTGAGTTGGTGGTGGTGGTGCAGCAAATTTTTTCACCTCAGCTTTATCACGATATTCTTCAATTTTTGTCATTTTCAATTGTTCCAAACCATCTAATAATGGTATCATATTACGATCACCTTGTGCTTTTAATGCTGTTCCTAAAGCTTCGGCTGATGATTCACGTACAACAGCATCCGGATCGGATAATGTTTTCAACAATGCTGTTGTTAATGTTTTTAATAATTTTTTCTGAATAGTATGTGGATTTGTTTTGGTAAAACTACGTGCCAAAAATAATGCCGTTTCACTACGTATTGATGGATTTTTATTATCTAATGATGTTATTATATCTTCACTTATGGCTTCTAGATTTGTCTGTTTTGCATAGAATTTTAAAAGAAAAAATTATTAAAATTTCCAAAAAATAATTTGGAAAATAACTTACCGAAAGATAAACAGCATCGATAGCATCACGTAATGATTGTACAACATTTTGTTTTTTTTCTTTAAATTTTTCCAATAAAACTGGAACCGATTGACCAGCATGATGATGAAATGTTTTTCTCAATCCTTGTGCTAATTGTCCAAGACATTTAATGGCCAATGTAACAACAACAATATTCGTATCTTTTGCAATAATTTTTCTCAATTGTTTTACTAATTCTGTATAATCACCATTTGTAGCTAATTTAGGATTAGCTTCCAATAATTGTTGTAATTTTTCCATTCCATCTTTACGTTCGGACCATTTTTTTGCTTCGATTAATGTATAAAAATCTCCCGGTAATTTCGTTAATAATTCAAATGGTTCAAGTAAATCAAATGGATCTATTTCAGCATCAGCTTCTGAAAGACCACCACCATTATTATCACCAACTGTTGCATCATCATTAGCTGTTCCAGTAGCGGAATCTAATTCTTCTGCTTGTCTTTGTTGTTGTGATCGTAACAAACGTTCAGGTGTTGCTTTCATATCTTTATATTTATCAAATTCTATTCGTAATTCTTGCAATAATATTGGCTTTAATAAACTAAGCTGTGGTACAAGTGCATCTTTAATCCAACGATATATTTCAATGGTTAATTGTTTAGTTTCTTCACGAACATTTGGATCACGTTCTTCAAGAAGTTTGGCCAATATCGGTACAATTGGTTTCAAACTAATTACTTTATAACCAAATTGATTTAAACATTTACGTATCATTGCAATAGTAGCGGCAACATTTTTCGGTGTTTTTTGTTCCAATGCTTTAATCAATTCTTCAACAACAATATCTTGTCGTTCAATTTCAACGCACATCAATACAACATCGGATGCTAATTCTTTAGTTCGTGCACGTGTTGCTGTTAAACATTTGGTTGCAACACCGGCAACAATATTTTCAACATATTTACCAGCTTGTGGACAATAATCAACAAATGCTAATGTTGCAGCAAGACCTTTTTCCTGTGCTGCTGCATTTGTATCGATCACAAATTTTTTCACTAATGGTGCATAACGTTGAAATTCACGATCTTCATATTGTGGAAATAATCGTATCAATTCTTCATAACCTGAAAGTCTTGCTTTCCAATTCTAATTTTTTTTGTTTGAAAAAATGAATGAATAAATTTCATTGAAAAAAATCAAACAAACAAACCTTATGTTGAATACGATCTTCAATGGAAAATTTGGAAAAATCTTGATCCTGTGACGAACCAGGAGCATCATCCATTTTTGTTTTGTTGTGGAAGTTTTTTTAAAAGTATCTGTGTTGTACGAAATTGTCAAATGAATGAATGAAAAACCAAATTTTCAACAACAAAAAACCAGAATTATGTCAATATTTGATTTAAGTAGATTTTTTTCGACAACAACATTCGATAATTTTGTTGTTGTTGTTGTTGGCAATAAATATTGAATAAATCTAATGGGGGGAAAAAATATAAAAAATTCAATTAGTAAAAATAGATTATCTCAATAAATATTAGGTCGAATAATTGAATTTAGAACACAAACCAACCAACCGAACGAACGAACGAAACAGACAGAGAAAAAACACCTATTTTAACAAAACTGACACAAACATCAAGCACAAATCGAACAATTATTATATGACATTTAGGCCGACGAGAAACTTTGATTTTTTTTCTTTTTGGTTAAAAAACAAGATCAAAGAAAAAAGCATCATCAAAAAAAAAAATCAAATGGACATTTTGTTTAGTTGCCAATCGAACAACTATAACCACACAATGAGAGATAGTGAGAGAGAGAAAAGGAGAAAATCAAGATCAAAGGGAGAAAAACTGGCTTCAATGAATCACATTGATGATGGTTTGCCGAAAAAAAAACCGGAAAGTAATCGAAAAAAATTGACCATAATTGTTATTAGACATCGAATATATCATGGGAAAAAAATGAAGCGAGAGAGAGAATATTATATTCAAGAATAGGTCATTTTTTTCCGTTGTTGTTGTTGTTGTTCTGTAGATAAAATTCAACCAGTTATTTCATTACAATTCACATACAAATCAAATCAATAGCTATAGGATAGGAATGGAATGGAATGTCTTGACCTTTTCTTTTGATATAATTATCCTCACACTAATGATGATAATATAATAGGGATGGGTAAATTGATGATGATAATGAAGAAAACAAGATATTCCCATAAAAGAATTGGATTAATTGAATTTAATATGACATTTTACACACCTAAATCATTGATTTATGATGATGATTACAGATTTTTGGTTGCTTTGTCGGAACAAAAATATCTTCTCAACAAAAATAATTCAATTTTGATGATGATGATGATGAGCTTATGGACAAACACAAATCACCAACGAAAAAGAAAATAAATGAATCATTCAAAGATCGTTTTTTTTTTTGTTTGTTGCACTGAAATAAACATTAACAAAAAAAAATTAACGATCAACAACCAAACAAACCGAACATTGGTGAAAAATATATTAACCGAAGCAAATGAAGAAGAAGAAGAAGCGAACACAAACTTTAACCGTCTTCGAACATTGTTTATTTTTTCTGTTTCGGATATAGTAGTGGTCGTTTTGGGTGTATCATTTTTGTTTTTTGCTTCTTTTCATCAATCAATGCTACTACCTTTTTTTTCTGTGATGTGTGTTGGTGTTATTAAACAAATGAAATGAAATTCATAACGTTTCTGTGTAGTCATAATGTATTGTTTGACAAAATCAAACAAGATGAACATAATGAATTTACTGATTGATTATTACCTGACATAACCAAAAAAAAGGGGTAGCCTGAATGCTTGATTCTAGCTTACAGACGAATATTGTGACCAATTCGATCACATAACGAATTTTAAATTTTATTTTTAATCACAAAAAACAAAAATTTCACTTCCCGAATTTTTCTTTTAAAATTATTAATCATCATTTGGTAATCATTTGGAATTTCATTGCCAATTTGAAATTTATTTTTGAATAAAATATTCGTTTGAAAAAAAAATTCAAAAATCAAAAATTTTCTCATTATGGAAGTTATGTAATAATTTTCCAAATACGTCTTATCTGAATGATTCGAAATCGAATCATTTTCAACAAAAAAAAAAATACTTCCTTTCTGTTTTTTTTGTTTTGACCATTTTTGTTTTCATCGAATGTGTCATATCCATTTGATTTTCTTGTTTTGTTTTTGTTTTTCAGAATTGAGAAAAATTAAAATTACAAAAAGTTTTTCATCAGAACAACCAACTCAACAACAAGATCCGAAAAGAGCAAACAAGGATCGTTTGCATTTTGTTGTTTTTTTTTTGTTTTTGGCAGACTTTAAAATTCATTTTATGAAGAGGCGTTCGAATTGAAGACAAAGCCGTCATTCTTTTTCTTCATATAATATTTCTGAAACAAAAAAAGACGAAATGAAGAAAATCAACACTGCCTATTGACATGACAAATTACAAAATTTATTGTTTTATTTGAAATTTGATATGAAAAAAAATGTTAATCATAATTTATCATTTACAAGGATGATGATGATGATACACACGCCATTTCATCATTAAATCACAAAATAAAGACATTAAGAAAAGTGTTGATGAAGATGATACATAAAATAAAAAAGTTCAATCATCCCAGTTGGATCACATTAATAATATCATCATTATGAAAACAACAAATGTAAACAAACAAACAACAGGTTTGGATCATTATTATTTTGTTTTTCATTGTCATTATATTATTATTGTATCTTATTTGTGTCTTTATGTTTTCGGTCCAATACAATGGCTACAATTTTGAATCATATCAGGTCGATGATATTCAATCTGTATGGTTGTCAATGATATTTGTAATTTACTTCGTATCAATATTTCAGCTTTTTCTCTTATCAATTCAAATTGATTACGGTCATTATGATCATCGGTATTATCATCATCTGGATAATCAACAGTCAAATGTACAGCCAATACATTACGACCATGTGTTAATGACCAAATATGTAATGAATGTACATTTTTTACACCGGGAATTTGTTCCAATAACATTTGTTTAACCTGTTCATATTGATATTCATTTGGAAAACCTTCCATCAGAATATGAAGACTATCTTTCATTATTGAATATGTTGTAGTGAATACTAATCCGGCAAATAATAATGTACAAATTGGATCAGCTAATTTCCAATCCGGACGAAAATGTATTATAATCGATGCTATTATAACACCAATTGATTGTATACAATCACCAATTATATGTAAAATAGCTGCACGAACATTCATATTTATATGTGAATGACCATGTTGTTGATGATTATGTTGATTATGATTATGTGAATGATGATGTCCATTTGTTTCTTGATCTTCTTTTTCATCATTAATACTATGGCAACAACATTTTGATGATAATGTTAACCACATTACAAGATTAAATGCTAAACCAATCGATGATACTGTCATCATTGTTATTGAATCAATTTCAAATTCATTCGAAATAATACGATTGATTGCAAAATATATAAGAAGACCGGTCAGAAACCATATCAAGAAAACGCTAAATAGTACACCGATAACTTCTAAACGTAAATAACCAAATGATTTTGAACGTGTTGGTGATTTTTGTGCCAAATAAATAGCAATCAAACTAATTGCAAAACTTATTAGATCACTAAATAAATGTGCAGCATCTTTATCGATTGAAAATACAACAAAAAAACAACAAATCAATATTTCAACAACAAAAAAAAATGTCAACAACAAAAAAAGGTCTTTTACCTGTAAATATTGCCAAACTATGTGATAGATAACCACCAACGATTTCAATTATCATAAACATCATACTGATTATAAGTGTTATAATCAATTTTATCATTGCTTGTCGAGCAAATTTTCGTTGATTATTATCCATTTGTAAATCATGACAATGATTATTTATCGATAATTGTTGTTGTTGTGTCGTTGTTGTTGTTTGATTATTTTCAATGTTTACATTACGATCAGATGAATTACCATCACAACTTTCTTCTTCTTCATCATCATCATCATCTTCATCGGACATTGTTTGATATTCAAATGGATTTTTATTCTTCATTTTTTCCTTTTTCTTCTTTGACTTTAATTTTTTATTTTTCAACGATATTTGATCAATCATTATTGTCGATGTTGTTGATAATGATCTGGATGATGATTTATTTTCATCTGGATTTTCAAGAATAATATTCATCGATGTTGATGATGATGCTAATCTGTTTTTGTTGTTGTCGCTTTGATTCGTGTTAGAATCAACAACCAAATCACCAGACAATAATCCAACCAATAATTCATCTTGATGATGATGATGATGATTATGACGTTCTGAATTGTCTTTCAATGTAGATGATGATGATGATGATGAATGAATGTCATGGTTAAATACATCTGCTATTTGATTATTATCATTATTCACAACATTATAATTATTGTTTTTATAATTTTCATTCATAACCTTGGTTTGAATTTTGTTACCATCATCATCATCAACGTTATTATTATTATTATTTACTGTCTGTTGATCATCATCTTGATTATTATAATTTCTATTTGAATTATTATAAATTGATTGTTTTAACATGATTTTTTTTCAGCACACAAAAAAAAACTAAAAATTTTGGGATATTTTAATAATGATCATTTATCAATCAGATTTGTTGATGAAATGACAATGTTTTTTTTTTCTGATGCTGATCGAGCAAAAATGATTTTTTTTTGCCATTGGATAGGATAACAACAGCCATCGATCACACATATACACATCACCATGACTATATCCAAAAACAAATTGAATGGTTTATAAACAGCAACGACAACAACACTTGTATCCGATTTTTTTTTTGTAGTTGTTATTGGTGTTTATTTTGATACATATCTTCTATGTGCGTTTTAGTTTTTTTTTCTGTTTTTTTTTTATTGTCTGGCTGGTTGATATATAAAAGGCTTTAATCGATGATAATTTTTGGCGTCAAAGATAAACAAACATATTTGAGTTTTTTGGATATTCTTATCGATTTTTTTTTCTAATAAGAATTTCTTTTATGTTTTTGTGTGTTCAGTTTGTGAAAGATTTATCTCTCTCATTGTTCTATATTTTTTTCCCGGTATTACAACATTTGATTGCAATAATCCACAAAAAAAAGATTTATCAAAATTATAAGATTATTATTACAAGGATGATTCTTCAAATTATAGATTAATCAAATAGAATCTTCAATTTAAATGATAATAATTTCCGTATAACTACCACTGTATAGCTTTTATTGATTTACAAATTTTCAATTTAAAAAAAAGAATAAAAGTTTTTTCATTGTAAATTTTTTGAAATTTGTTTTTTCTTTTCTCTTGTTGTCTTTTTCGATGTTATTGATGATGTGGATGATGATGATGATGATGTGGAATTTGGCTGTTGTAGTTTTTTCTGTTTCGAATTATTATTATTACTATTATTACAACTATTAATTAATATTATTGATGAAATTATAATTATAATTATAATTGAAATATAAATTATAATTGTTGTTGATTTTGATTTTANATATTTTTAATAATGATCATTCATCAATCAGATTTGTTGATGAAATGACAATGTTTTTTGATGCTGATGCTGATCGAGCCAAAAATGATTTTTTTTTTTGCCATTGGATAGGATAACAACAGCCATCGATCACACATATACACATCACCATGACTATATCCAAAAACAAATTGAATGGTTTATACAACAACAACAACACTTGTATCCGATTTTGGTGTTTATTTTGATACATATCTTCTATGTGCGTTTTAGTTTTTTTTAGGGTTATTTGTTTTTTTTATTGTCTGGCTGGTTGATATTTTGAAAGGCTTTAATTGATGATAATATTTGGCGTCAAAGATAAACAAACATAGTTTTGGATATTCTTATCTAATAAGAATTTCTTTTATGTTTTTTTATGTTCAGTTTGTGAAAGATTTATCTCTCTCTCTCTCTCTCTCATTGTTCTATTTTTCCGGTATTACAACATTTGATTGCAATAATCCACAAACAAAAAAAGATTTATCAAATTATAAGATTATTATTACAAGGATGATTCTTCAAATCAAAGATTAATAAAATAGAATCGCCAATAATTTACTACCGTATAGCTTTTATTTATTTACAATTTTTTTAAATTAAAAAAGAATCAAATTTTTTGTTGTAAATTTTTTGAAAGTTTTTTCTTTTCTCTTGTCTTTTTCGATGTTATTGATGATGTTGATGATGATGTGGAATTTGGTTGTTGTAGTTTTTTCTGCTTCGAATTATTATTATTACTATTATTACAACTATTAATTAATATTATTGATGAAATTATAATTATAATTATAATTGAAATATAAATTATAATTGTTGTTGATTTTGATTTTACAGAATTATCATTTTTTGTTGTTGTTGTTGTTAATATTTTTTCGGTTACATTATCCTGATGATGATGATGATCATCGTTTTTATTATCATCATTTTTGTCTTTGTTTTTGTTCTTGTTCTCCTTCTTGGATAAACTATCATTACAATGAAAAAAATCTTTGTAATTATAATGAAAATATGATACTACATTCTGTTCCTTTAACATTACATCACCAATATTAAATGTTAATAATTTTTTCTTTTCATTTGAAAATAAAAATGCAATATATTCTTCTTCATTCATTGTTTTCCTGTTACCATTATCATCAATAATAACAGAAGTTGTTGGAAATGAAAATTTTTCTATAAAACCATAACGAAATTGATGTTTTACAAATACATTCTGTATATTTATTCTTGAATGTTCAGATTCTTCGGATAGTTCGTGTATTTTTAAACGTTCATTTGATGAAACAAATTTTTCCGGTTGTGAATAATTTAAATATAGAAAAAATTTAAGGGTTGGATCTTCCATTATTGTTTCGATTGTAATTGCATTTGCTGTCATTATATATGATATTACAATCGATAATTCATTATCACTTATAACAATCATTTCGGCTGGTATATTTTCAAATGACATTATAAATTTTTGTAATTGTTTTGTTTCATTTGTTTGACTTGAATCATAAACAATAACAAAATGTTTTGATAGATATGATGTTTCATATAGAATGAATTTTATTTGATTTTTATCATTATCGTTATTATTGTTTGTAATTATAATTATTGCATTAAATTTTTCAGATAATTTTTCTTTTTTTATAATTTGTTCATCATTATTTGGATCATGTTCATAATATAATTCATCAAATAATAATTTATGTATATTTTTTTCAATTATAATTTGTTCATCAAAATAATAAATATAACCATTGGATAAATCCATTTTATAATTTATAATTTTTTGATTATCATTTTCAATTTGTTTTTTTGATCTACCTTTTAATCTTTTTTGTTTATTATTATAAATTATTATTTGTAAAATATCATTTTTTTTAATAATTTGATAAATTTGATCACCAACCATTGATAAACCGATTGTATTTGGTAAATATTCAATACCACAATCGATAATTCTTGATTGATCTGGTTGTTGTTGTCCATAAACATGATAATCGTTTGATAAAATCAATAACAATATTAATGATGAAAATTTCATTTCAAACTTCAAACTTCATACTTTTTTTTCTAAACAAATTTTCAAATTCGCTTCGTTGGTTGTTTATAAAATTGATTTTTTTTTGTAAAAAAATTTTTTAATTAGATTTTTAAAAATAGAATAAAAAATTACAAATTCCATTGAATGTTGCAAACAAAATTGGTTTTTTTTTGTTGGTAATTCAATCAATTATAATTTGAATTAACTGTTGTAATTGTTTCAATTTTGTAATTTTATTTTGGTAAATTTAATGATAAATTTTTTTTCTTCAATTTTAATGATAAATCTCTCTTTAATTTCATTGATAATTCTCTTCTTAATTTTAAACTATAATTATCTATTTTCGGTGGTGATAACGGATGCGGCAATGGTGGTGGCAACGAAGGCGGCAATGGTGGTGGCAACGAAGGCGGCAATGGTGGTGGCAACGGAGACGGTAGTGGTGGCAACGAAGGCGGCAATGGTGGCAACGGAGGCGGTAGTGGTGATCTTTTTTCTAGTGATGACGGTGGCGTTTTCGCCAATGTTGTTATTGATGATGATGCCGATGATGATGATGCCGTTGATGATGCCGTTGATAATGATGTTAATGGTTGTGATGGTAATGTTTTTTTCATTAGTAATGAATCAATTTTTTTAGGTATCAACTTTTTTATTTCAATTTGCTTTTTTCTTTGTAGTTCTTGCTGTTGTTGTCGTTGTTCTTGCTGTTGTTGTTGTTGTTGTTGTTGTTTTCGTTTTCGTTGTAATTTTAATAAACTTTGTAATTGTTGTTCTTGTAGTTCTTGTTGTTTTTGTAAATAATCATTTCGAAAACATTGATGACAAAAACTATATTGACAATAACCATAATAATAACAAATCATTAATATTATTGATAATAATGGAAATATTATAAATATAATTATCATTGATATAATTATAATATAGATTATTAATTTGGATTTTGTAAAAAATTTTTTTGGTATTCTTGGTTTTGGCAAATTTATATCGAAATTAAAAATATCCTTATTTGGTTTATTCGGATTATTATTATTATCATTTGTTTTATCAATATTACAATGAAAAAAATCTTTATAATTTTGATGAAAAAATGGAAAATGTTTATCCGCTTCATCCATATATAAATCACCAATATTAAAATATAATATTTTTTCTTGTTTATTTGAAAATAAAAATAAAATATATTTTTCTTGTTTTTTATTACCATAAATATTTTTAAATTTTTGTATAAAACCATAACGAAATTGATAATTACTAAAATGTTTTTCAATTTCCATTTTTGAATATTGAAATTCTTTTGTATGTTCATAATCTCTATAACGATAAATTGTTGATGAAAATTCATTTAAAATTGATTGATTACAATATAAAAAATGATTAAAATCTTTATTATTATTACGTGTTTCAATACGTATTACATAATCATTAATTAAATATGATAATTTTATTGATGAATTATAATCATTATTAATCATAATTAATTCAGCTAAATTATTAAATTGTATTAATTTTGTTTGTATTTTTTCATCATCATTATTATTATTATCATCATAAACAATAATATAATGTTTTTGTAAAAATGTTGTTTCATAAAATGTTAATTTTAATCTATTATTTTTATTATTAATCGTTATGATTGCATTATATTGTTCGGATATTTCATCTTTTTTAACAATTTCATTATATTGATTATGTTCAAAACGTATTAATGTTAATAATTTTTCACGTTCATTTTCTTCGGCTATAATTTCATTAAATTTTTTATAATAACCATTTGATAAATTTAATTTATAATGAATTTTTTCATCATTTTTATCCGATGATATACCTTCGATTCGTTGATTTTTATTATCATAAATTATTATTTTTATATTATTAGTATTATTTTCATTTATAATTTGATAAATTTGATTATTAACCATTGATATACCGATTGTATTTGGTAAATATTTTACACCACATTCAATGTTTCTTGATTGATCTTGTTGTTGTCCATAAACACAATAATCATTCGATGATGAATTTAAAATTACAAAAAACAATATCGATGATAATAATGATGAAAATTTCACATTGTAAAGCATCATTTCATCAACAAAAAACATACACTTTTTCAAACAAAATTTTCCACTTCACATCGATGTTTATTTATATAAATCGTCGTTCATTAATTTTTTAATTAGATTTCTTTAGTTTGTAATTCAATGGATTAATAATAATGGATTGTAATGAAATTATTTTTATTTTTATTTGAAAAAATGATAAAAAATTTTGTTATTATTTTGTTAAATTCTGTCAATTTTCAATGGATGTTTACGTTTACGTTTTAATTGTTGTTTTAAGTTTTTGTAGTTCAAAGAGTTTTTTATTGTTGTTGTTGTTGTTGTAAATAATTTTGATTGATAAAATCGATTAATAATTATATTATAATATTTTTGATAAAAAATTATCATTATTATTGGTAAAAAAATTGCAATCATAATCGATATTACAACTGCAATTTTGATTATAATTTGAATTATTATTGGTGGTGGTGATGATTCTTGTTCAGAATAATCAAATGTTGTTGTTGTTGTTGTTGTTGTTGTTGTAGATATTTTCAAACAAGGTCTTTCAGTTTTATTATCATCATGATGGACATCAACCTTACCATCATGGCCATTATCACCATGGCCATTTTCGTCACCATTATCATCACCATGATCATCACCATTACCATTAAAAATATCTGTATTATTTGTTGAAAAATTTTTACAATAAAAAAAATCTCTATAATCTTGTTGATGAAATGGAATATTTGTATTTGTATTTGTAATTTCATCTGATAAAATATTATTAATATTAAAATATAAAATTTTTTTCTTTCTATTTGAAAACAAGTATAAAATATCTTCTTCTTCTTCTTCTTCTTCAGTTTTTTTTCGTTTATTACTATTATTATTTTGATGATTATCATTATCATCATCAATGGTAAATGTAAATTTCTGTATAAAACCATAACGATATTGATGTTTAGCAAATAATTCTTTCATTTTCTTCCTTGAATAATTTTCATCAGATAATTTGATTGTTTGAACATTTGCTGTTGAAACAAATTGCTTCGGTTGACGAGAATCAATATAAAAATAAAATAATCTTTTCATCGGTTCCTCTGTTGATTCAAAAATTGTTTCAATACTAAACAAATAATCATTTAGTTGATTTGTAATTGCAATTGTTTTCGATTCACCATCACTTATTATTAACATTTCAGTTTGATATTTATAATTTTTAATATATCTTGCACTTTTACTACGAAATAGATCACATTCAATAATATAATGATTATAAAGAAATGTTGTTTCATATAGTAAAAATCTCATATGTCTATCATTACCTAATAATAATAATGAATTATAATTTTTTGATAAATTTTCTAATCGTATATGATAATCTTGTTGATTATGTTCATAATGTAAAAAATATAATATTTTTTCACGTTCATCATCCGAATAAATTATTTCATCAAAATTATAATATTCACCATCCGATAGATCGATTGTATGGCGATAATCATTTTCATTTTCATTTTTCGATTGTTTTGTTGATTTTGCCTGTAATCTTTCATATTGATTTGAATATTTTATAAAACTTATTGTTTCATTTAATATTATAAATTGATAAAGTTGATCACCAACTGTTGATAAACCGATTGTATTCGGTAAATATTTTAAACCACATTCAATTATTATTGGTTGTTTGGATTGTTGTCCATAATGAACATTTAAAATCAATAAAAATGAAAATTTTAGACTAAACATTATTTCATCATCACTCACTCACTTACAAACAAACAAACAAACAAACAAACAAGCAAGCGATTGTAACAAATTGCAAATTTTATTAGATTTTCTAGAACAAAAATTCAAATTTAATTACCAAAAATCAAACGTTGTTATTCATTATCGTTTTTAGTTGTTTGTTTGTTGTTATTGATGAAATTTAACAATGAAAAAAATCACGATAATCTTGTTGATAAAATGAAACATTCATTGTATTCATATTTTCATTCGATAAAATTTCATCAATATTAAATGATAGAATTTTTTCCTGTTTATTTGAAAATAAAAATACAATTTCTTTAAATTTATCATTATCATCGACAAATGTTTGCATAAAACCATAACGATATTCATATTGTACGAATATTTCTTGCATTTTCTTCCTTGAATAATTTTCATCATCAACCGATAATTTATTATTACGATAATTTTTTGTTATTTGAAATTGTTTCGGGTTTTTTGAATTTATATGTAAATAAAATAATAAATTTTCTTCTTTATTATTATTATTATCATTGAAAATTGTTTCCATACTAAACATACTATCATTCAAAAGATGTGTTAATGCAAATGCCGTTGTTTGATCATCACTAATCATTATTATATTGGCTGGATTTTTAAATGTTTTTGTATATTCAACAAAATATTCTTTTTTTAAATCAAATATTATAATAAAATGATTATGTAAATAACCCGTTTCATATAATACTAATTTTAAATTATTTTTACTATCAAACAAAATTAATGAATTATAATTCATTGATAACTTATCTTTTCTTATAATATCATCATCTTGTAAATTATTATGTTCATAATGTAATTCTTTTATTGTTCGTTCACGAACATTTTTTGATAATATTATTTGATCAAAATAAGAATATTTTCCATTGGATAGATTCATTTTAAAATAATTATAATTTTGTTTTGTTTTAAAACGTTTTTGTTGATTATCATAATCCATTAAATCAATTTTATCCGATTGTATATATTGATAAATATGATCATTAATTATTGTTATACCGATTGTATTTGGTAAATATTCAATACCACAATCAATGTTTGATGATGGTTCTTGTCGTCGTATTCGTTTTCGTTTTTGTTTTTTACCATAAACATCATTTGTAAAAATCAATAAAAATATCAACGAAATTACTAATTGAGATGAAAATTTGTAAAACAGCATCGTTTCGCACTTTTTCAAACAAATTTTCCTCGATGTTAACAAACAAATTTGTTTATAAATCAGGGTTTTGCTTGGATTTTATTCAATAAAATTCGTTTTTTTTTAATTATAAATTAATTTTGTAATAATCAATTTTATTTCTGAAAATTTTTAATGAGAAACGTAATAATTTTTTGTTCATTTTAAATTTTATAAATTTTTGGTTTTGCCGATGTGGATGTTGATGATTCTGTTTTTGTTGTTGTTGTTGTTGTATCTGCTATTGATTCAAATTTTTCTTTTGAATCAATCGTATCGGATATTAAATTTTTCAATTTATATGGTTGTGGTTGTTGTCGTTGTCTTTGTCGTTTTGATATTCTAATCATTTCAGGAATATCTTGTAATTTTCTTAATTCTTGTAATTCTTGTTGTCGTAAAAGTTGTAATTTTCTTGATTGTTTTCTTGATAATTTTTGTATATCTGGTGGTTGTAATGGTTTTCGTGAATAATTAAAATCCATACTTTTATTTGTTTGACAAAAACATTTTTGATAACAAATCATCGTTATAATAGCTAATAATGGACAAACTATAATTAATATTCCAATTATAATTAAAATATAAACTGCTGATAATGATTCTTGATCGGGATTTTCTTGTTCTTGTTCGGTTGTTATTTCTGGATTTTGTTTAGCTTCGGTAACATCATCATTATTATTGTTATTATTATCAGGATGATCAGTACTTTTAACATTATCCTTATTATTACAATGAAAAAAATCCTGATAATTTAGTAGAAAATATGGTATATAAATTTCATTGGAAAATATATCACCAACATTAAATGTTAATATTTTTTTAAAATTATTTGAAAATAAAAATAAAATATTTTCTTCAATTTTTTCTCCATTACTACTACCATCATCATTATTGAAAAATAAAAATTTTTGTATAAAACCATAACGATAATCATATTGACCAAATATTTCTTCTAATTTTAACCGTGAATAAATTGGTAATTGTAAACCACCACGTATTTTTGTCGATATAAATTCATTTGGTTTTGGTGAACTTATATAAAGGAAATATAAATTATCTTTACCTTTTATTGTTTCAATACTGAACATTGTATCATTCATAATATGTGATATTAATAATGTATTCTGTTCACCATCACTGACCAATATCATTTTATCCAAATTTCTATGTATTTTAAATGATTTTATTATTTTATTTTCGGATATTTCTTCATCAAAAATAAATACCAAATGATTTATTGAATATTTTGTTTCATATGTTAAAAATTGTATATGATTATTATTACTATTTATAATTATAATTGAATTCATATGTTTTGATATTTGTTTTTTAAATATAAATTCTTCATTTTCATTATCTTCTTTTTGTTCATAATGTAATGTTTCATATATCTGTTCACGTACATATTCATTTATAATTATTTCATCAAATTGATAAAGATAACCATTTGTAAAATCCATTTTATAATTATGATTTTTATTATCATCATCATTATTATTATGTTGTTTTGTTGATCTACCTTTAATTCTTTGATGTTTATTATCATATACTATCATTTGTATTGTTTCTTTTATTAATAATATCTGATATATTTGATTATTAACCATTGATATACCGATTGTTTCAGGTAAATAATCAATACCACAATTTATTAATCTTGATGGATCTTGTCGTCTTGATCGTCGTTCTCCACAAACAACATTTGATGAATTTATAATTAGTAAAAATAACGATGAAAATAATGAAAATTTCACATTATAAAACAGCATTTTTTTTCATTAGAAAAAACCACACAAACTATAGTCGAAACAATTTTTTCTGTTTTACAAAATTTGCTTTTAAATCAATTTTAAGAATGTTTTTTTTTTGTTTGTAAAAGTTTTTATTAATTTTATTAGAATTGTTTTTGTAATTAAAAATTTGATCGAATTTTTTTTTTTTTGTAAACGAATTTTCATTTTCTTAATTTGTATTTGGTGTTTGGTTTTGTTCGTTTTGGCCGAATCAATGTTGATGTTGGCGCTTTTGTTGTTGGCGTTGTTGATAATATTGATGAAACATTACTATCCATCATCATTGAATCAAATACTTCAGATATAATATTACCAAATTCATATGGATTTTTTATTTTTTGTAATTTTTTTATTCGTTGTAATTTTCTTTGCTCTTTTTCTTGTTTTTGTTGTTGTTGTGATTTACTTTTACGACGACGACAACAACAACAACAACAAAAACAAATATTATAACGACAGCAGCCATTTTTATATGAAATCATTATTATTATGGCTATTAATGGACAAATTATCAATATAGATGATATTATAAATATTAAATAAATTAATGATAATGATTTTGATGTTGGTTGTTCGGTTGTTGTTGTTGTTGATTCATAATAATCATCATCTGTTGTTGTTTCTATTGTAGTTGTTGTTGTTGTTTTTTTATGATGTGGTTTTGTAATTACTTTATCATCGGTTGTTGATGAATGTTTACATTTAAAAAATTGTTCATAACTTAATTGTTCATATGAAATATATTTTACACCGGAAAATATATCACCAATATTAATTGATAAAACATGTTTACGTTGATTTGAAAATAAAAATAATATTTTTTCACTTTTATTATATAAATAAAGTGGATGATTTGTAATATTACATAATTGTATGAAACCATAACGAAATTGATATTGTATAAATATTTGTCTAATTTTTTGTCTTGAATGTTCAGATTGTTCGGGTTCAATATCTGTATACCTTTCGAATGATGATGAATAAAATTTTAATGGATTTGTTAATTTTAAATATAAATAATAACTTTTATATTGTTTTTCATTAAATGTACCAATTTTAATACAATCATCATCCCATTTATATGTTATTTGTATAAATTGTTTACCATCACTTACAATAATCATTTCAGCTGGTTGTTTTGGATTATAAACTGTTAATTGTATTCTATCTTCAGACATATTTTCATAACAAAATGCAATAAAATGATTTGTTTGATATGATGTTTCATATGTTATAAATGTAATACCCATATTATTATCATTAGTTATAATTGCATTAATATGTTTATAAAATATATTATTATTGCGTATTAATTTTCCATCATCACTATGTTTATAATGAAATGTTTCAATTATTCTTGAACGTACTAATTTTGATTTAATTATTTCATCAAAATCATTATAATAACCATCTAATAAATTTAATTGATAATAAAATTTATCAAATTCTTGACTATCATCATTATTATTTTCAATTTCAGTTGTACGTAATTTTAAACGTTTTTCTTTATTTTCATAAATAATTATTTTTATTGTATTATTTTCTAATAATATTTGATAAATTTTATTATCAACCATTGATAAACCGATTGTAATATCTAAATAATCAATACCACAATCAATAATTTTTGCTGCGGATGATGATGATTGATGTCCACAAATCAATGATAATAATATCAATAATGTTGATAATAATAATTTCATCGTTTTAAGCAATCACACATAAACAAAGGTTTTTTTACAAATATGTTTTACAACTTTACTGCGATATTTATATTAAAATTAATAGAACTTTTTGGTTACAAATTCGAATTGTTACAAGAATAGTATCGAATTCTCCAAAAGATTCGTTAAATCAAATGAAAAACACAAGAATCAAGATTTGGCGCAAGCGCGTAGCTACAATGTTTGTTTATGTTTTTTTTTGTAAAAGATTATTTTATTTATTTTTTTTTTTTTTGTAAATAAAGTGTGGTTTTTTTAAATTAAATTAAGCAAAACTTATTTCGGCTGTCAATATCGATAATATTGATGATCTTGATGATGATTTTGATGTTGTTGATGTTGATGATTTGGATTTGGAATTGAATTTGGATTTTGATCTTGATGGTAGAATCGATGTTTGTAATTTTTTTTTCTTGTTAATTCTTTTTGATTTTATTGTTTTTTTTAATAATTTTTTTAATCTTTTTGTTTCTTTACGTTGTTCTTGTTGTAATTTTTGTAATTTTTTTTGTAAATAATAATTACGATCAAAATATTGATGACATAAATTATATTGACAATAACCATGTTGATAACAAATCATTGTTACTATACTAAATAATGGTAATATTATTATAATTATTATAATTAATGGTATTATAATTAGAAATTTTATCGATAATTTTGATTTTACTTCCAAATCATTGTCTGTTATTCTTTTTTCTTTATTATTATCATCGTTATTATTATTAATACTATCATTATTTTGAAAATATTTACAATTAAAAAATTTTTGATAATCTTGTTGTTGAAATGGTATAGCTGTTGTTTTATTTTTAAATATATTACCAATATTAAATGATAAAACTTGTTTCATTTTGTTTGAAAATAAAAATAAAATTTCTTCTTCTTCTTCTTGGTCTTCTTCTTCCCCCTCTTTGATTGAATGAAATTTCTGTCTCAATATAAAACCAAACCGATAACGATATTGTACAAAATTTTCACGAATTTTTTGTCTTGAATATTCTAATTGTTGTGAATTTAATTGTTGTTTGTATTTTCGTTCTGTCGATATAAATTCATTTGGTTTATTTAAATTTATAAATAAATAATAATTTAATGATAATTTTTCATTATTTATATTAATCGAATCACCATCCATTTCATATGTTATAAATTTTAATTGTTCATCATCATCATCATCACTGATCATTATAATTTTGGTCAATTCTTCAAAACCAATTTCCATTAATTGTAAATTTTCATTATAATAATCATTATAAATGGCAATAAAATGATTTAATAAATATGTTGTTTCATATAATATAAATTTTATTTGATTTTTTTCCTTCTTGTTTTTCATTATTAATGCTTGCATTTTTTTCTTATTATCATCATCATCATCAACATTATTAGGAGATTTTTCAACATTTTCATTTGATTTTTGTTGTTGTGCTAAATGAAATATATTCAATAATTGTTCACGAATCAATTCTGATTGAATTATATCATCAAATTGATGTAGATGACCATTTGATAGATCCATTTCATATTCGATAATTTCATTATCGGTTGTTGTTTTATTAAATCTTTTTTGTTTATTATTATAGATTATTATATGAAAATTATCATTTTCATAGAAAATTTGATAAATTTGATCATCAATTATCGATATACCGATTGTATTCGATAGATATTCAATACCACAATTGATAATTTTTGATCGATTCATTTGTCCATAAACATTCAATGTATTATTCATTATGATCAATGTTGTTAATATTGAAAATGTGAATGATGATGATGATAATTTCATCTATATAACACCACTTCACAGCACACAAACACACACACTTTTCAAATTTTCAATCACATTTTTTTCCATTCATTTATAATGTTTATTTATAATTGAAATTAATTTTATTAATTTTAATTAGAATTTTTTTGGTTTTGTAATTTTCTTCTTTTACAAATCGAATCAATTTTGATTTACGATTCTGTGGGGGATTCTGATTCATTTTTGGGCGATTTTGATCTCTTCTTTGGTGATTTCGATCTCTCCTTTGGTGATTTCGATCTCTCCTTTGGTGATTTTGATCTTTTTTTCGGTGATTTCGATCTCTTCTTTGGCGATTTTGACCTATTCTTCTTTGGTGATTTTGATCTTTTTTTCGTTGTTGTTTCTTTCACACTAATCGATTCTGATGTTATTGGTAATGATGTTTTCGATGTTATTCTTAGATAATAATTTTGTAATTTAGATTTTGTTTTTGCTGTTGTTGATGAATCTTTTTTACAATATAATAATGAACAAATAAAACATTCATAACCAAAATTTAATAATATTAATTGTATTAATATTAATAATAATATTATTATTATTGAAATGTAAATAATATTTCGAAATAATTTTTTTTGTAATAATGATAATATTCCATTATTTCTATCCTCTGAATTCTCATTATTATCATCATCGTTATTTTCGTGATTATTTGTAATTTTTTCCTTTTTACAATGAAAAAATTTCTGAAATGTTATTAATTTTAATGAAAATGAACTTAATTCATTATTATAAAGTAAATTATTGTCTTTTTTATAATCAATTGTCAATACACGTTTATCAAATGTAACAATACGTTTATTTTGATTTGATATTAAAAATATTCTTTCATGTTTATAATTATAAAAATCATTATCAATAAAACCATATGTAAACATTTCATTAAATAATCTTTTTGTTAATTGATTTATTAATTTTGATTGTTCACAATTCATTGGTATCGATTGTTTTATCGATATTAATCGATATTGTTTATTATTATTATTGTTCATCTTTTTTGTTGTTGATGTTGTTGTTTCATTATATTCAAATACATAAAGATTTGTTATAAATTCATAATTTTTATAATAATCAGTTAAATTATTATAATTTGTAATTAAATCTGATTTTAATTTATAAACAATTACTTTTGATTTTAAGCCATTATTATCACCATCATCTTGATCGATTGTATATTGAATTTGATAAATATTTTCTAAATTATCCGTTACAATTGTTAAATGTGTTGTTTGATCAAAATGATAATCAAAATTATTTAATTTTTTTGTTGTTTGTAAATTATAATCACTAAATTTATAATATTTCCCATCAAATGATTTAAAACAATAAAAACGATATGCTGATTGATTGTTTTGTAACTGATTTTCCGTCACTTGTTGAATCAACGTTGCACTGAATAATTTTGGTTTTACAAATGATCCTGATGGTTGTTGTTGTTGTTGTTGCCAATTGAAAATATCATTTTCAATCAATTTTTTTAATGATGGTTCTTTTAAAAAAATTTGTTCCAAATCATATTTTCGGCCATCGATTAAATTTAAACGATAATTTTTTAATGTAAATTTTTTCCTTACACGTTTATAGATGATAATTTTCAAATCAACTTTTCCATCATTTGTTTTTTCTTTGATTATCTGATAAATATGATCATTCTGTATGGTAATACCAATGGTTTGATCTAAATATTTCATACCACATTTAATTGATTCATTAATCGATTGATTTAATTGAAAATTTTGTTGCTGTTCGATCATCATCAGGGTTATGATGATGATGATAATCAATGTAAACGATGAAAAATTCATTCTTTTCAACAACAAAATTCAAATCGAGAAAAAAATGTTTACAATTTAAATGAAATTTTCAACAAACTGAATAATTGAATTTTCGAATATTTTTTATTTATTCAGGAAAAAAAAAGAAAAATTAACATAATTTATTCAGATTCGGTTCTTGTTCTTGTTGTTGTTGTTGTCATTGTTGTTGTTGTTATTGGATATGTTAATAGTGTTGGAGCATTGGTAAAAAGTTGTTGTTTCGGTTGTTGTTGTTGTTTTGGTTGTTGATAATAATGTTGCTGATGATTATGTCTTTTTAATCGTTTTGCATAATAAGAATCCTGATAATTCATCTTTTGATTAACAGTTGGAAATGTTTTTATTCGTAATATTGATTTTTGTAATTCAATACGTTCAACAAAATTTGTATGAAAATAATAATATTTACAATTACGATAAAAAACAATTGCTAATAATATTAATAATGGTCCTAATACTAATGTTGATATTACTATAATACCTATACGTAATACGGATTGATCAAAAAATTTACTTTCATTTGAATTATCATTATCATTATTACAATTTCTTTTGTCACTACAATTTCTTTTGTTTTTGTTGTTGTTGTTGTTATTGTCGTCGTCGTTGTTGTTGTTGTTGTTGTCATTATTATCGATACTTTTAATTGTTGATAATATTTGTATAGTAAAAAAATCATCAAAATTTCCTTCTTCCTGTTGACAATAGAAAAAATTTTGATAATATTTTAATTGAAATGGATATTTTACAAATTTATTTTCAATAACATCCATTGAAAATGTTAATAATATTTCATTTAGATTTGTAAATAAATATAATTGATTATTATCAATAAAACCATATGTAAATAAATTTGTACCAAATATTCTTTGAAATGATTTTAATGATTGTTTTTTTTCTTTTTCATTATACATTTCAATAATATTTTCTGATTGAAATATATAATCCGAATTCAAACCAATACTTAATGATTTTGTCCATTCAAAATTTTCAATACCATAATCTTTTGATGATAATTTTTCCATTTGAAAATTATATGATCGATCATAGAAAAATGTTATTATTCCTTCATTTTGTCGATCAGATATCGTACCCATAATATGTTTCATTTTATTATTGGTTATATAAAATGTTTGCATTTCATTCACACTGATTTCCTGATTATAATCACCAACAATGTAGGTGAATTGATCATAGGATTTTAAACAATAAATATGTATTTTTCCATTCATCTTATTTATAGACATTGAAATACTTATAATTGGTTTTTCATTATTAATTCTTGATTCATTACCAATCCATTGTATTATTGACATTATACCTTCAGCAATATTTTCCGGTATTAAATCATTTAATCCATTCGACATCATATGACCATCAATTAAATCCAATTTATAATCATTTTCATTATCATTATTTCTAATTAATTTTTGATAATTATAACGAATAATTTGTAAATTTTTATTTACAAATAAAAATTGATATAAATAATCATCAATTAACGATAGGCCAATTGTTTCTTTTAAATATTTATTACCACATTTAATGAATGTTTGTCTTTGTCTTTTTTGAACATTTGATTTTTTTAATGTTTTAGCACATTGATAAAATGATATTTGATGAATAATAATTATCAACATAATTATGGTTATTATAATGATCTTATACATGGAGCCAAACAAACAAACAAACAAAAACAAAAAACAACAAAATCAAGAAAATTAAAAACACAAAATTTTCACTCGAATTTTCATTCATATTTATATCAAATGCCATTCAATCGAATCGAATTGAATTAATAAAATTATAAAAATTGTAATTTTTGAATTTATTTTTTTTTTACACTTTTAATTTATTAATTAGTTAAATGGAAACATAGATGTTTATGACATTGTTGTTGTTGTTGTTGTTGTTGTTATTGTAATTGGTTGATATTGTAATCGTCTTGGAACATTAAATTGTTGTGGTCGTTGATAAAAATAATGATTATATTTTTTAGGCATTTTTTTAAATCTTTTTGTAAAAAAATATTGTGGATATATTGGATATGAACGATTTGATTTTTGTAATTCAATTTTTTTAACCATTTCTTTATGAAAATAATAATATTTACAATTACGAAAACAAACAATCATTGTTATGATTGTTAATGGGCCAAATATTGTTAATGCAATCATTATAAACAATAAACGTATTAATGATGGATTGAAAAAATTTTTTGTAAAATTTTTTGTATCATTTTTTTGATTATTATTATTATTATTATTATTAGGATTGTGATGAATGATATTATCAATATCGGATGTAGTTATTGATTTTGATGTTATTGTTGATAATCTTTCTACAGTAAAAAAATCATCAAATTCATCATCATCATTATTACTAAAATTATCATTATTATCGCTATCATTATGATGTTTTTCATTTTTTCGTTGACAATTAAAAAATTCTTCATATAATTTTGATTGTAATGAATATTTTTTAAATTGATTTTCAATAATATTCATTGAAAATGTTAATATTTTTTCATTCAAATTTGTAAATAAATATAATTGATTATTATCAATAAAACCATATGTAAATAAACTATTGTTTGTATCAAATATTTTTTGAAATGATTTTTTAAATAATAATTCTTTTTCATTATCAAAATAATCATTATCATCATCATCATCGATATTATTATTGTTTGATTGAAATAGATAATCTGAATTTGAATCAATAATCAATGATTTTGTCCATTCAAAATTTGTACTACCATAATGTTTTGATGATAATTTTTTCATTTGAAAATAATATGATAATTTATTATAGAAAAATGTTATTATTCCTTCATTTTGTCGATCGGATATCGTACCCATAATATGTTGCATTTTATTATATTTTATATAAAATGTATGCATTCTATTTGAATCAATTTCCTGATTATAATCACCAATAATATAGATTAATTGATCATAGGATTTTAAACAATAAATATGTATCATTCCATTAATCTTATTTATAGACATTGAAATACTTATAATTGGTTTTTCATCATTATTATTAATTTTTGATTCATTATCAATCCATTGTATTATTGACATTATACTTTCAACCATATTTCCAGGTATTAAATCATTTAATCCATTCGACATTAATTGACCATCAATTAAATTCAATTTATAATCATTTTTATTATTACTGTTATTTCTAATTAATTTTTGATAATCATATCGAATAATTTGTAACGTGTTATTTACAAATAAAAATTGATATAAATAATCATCAGTTAATGAAAGGCCAATTGTTTCATTTAAATATTCATTACCACATTTAATGATTGTTGTTTGTGATTGTCTTTTTTGAACATTTGATTTTTGTAATGTTTCAATTATTAACATTATTATGGTTATAATGATGATATTATTATACATCGGGCCAAACACAAAAGCAAAAACAAATTAAAGATAAAACACAATTTGAACTTGTATTTTTCATTCATATTTAAATCAAATGTCCGAACAAATAAATTTAATGTAATGAAAAAAATTACAAAATTAATAAAATTATAAAACAAATTTAATTTTCGAATTTATTTATTCATTCATTTTTCTAATACAATCTATTTAATGAATCAGATGTTTGTGTTGATAATGCTGATGGTGAATATGGTAATCGTCTTTGTTGAACATCATCAAGTTGTTGTTGTTGTTGTTGTTGAAATGGTCCTGGTTGTTGTTGTTGTTGTTGTTGTTGATGATGATGATGTTTTTGTTTTTTAGGTTTTTTAGGTGATAATTTTTTTGAAAAAAAATATTGTTGATATATTGGATATGAACGATTAGATTTTTGTAAATCAATTCTTTTTACAATATCTTTATGAAAATAATAATATTTACAATTACGATAACAAACAACCATTGTTATGATTGATAATGGACCAAATATTGTTATTATAATCGTTATAAACAATAAACGTGTTAATGATTGACTAAGTAAATTTTTTGATTGATTTTTTTTCGTTTCATTTTTTTTATTATGATGATGATGATTGTCATCGTTATTTATATGAATAATATCATCAATTTCGGATGTAGTTATCGATTTGGATGTTATTGTTGATAATCTTTGTACAGTAAAAAAATCATCAAATTCTTCTTCTTCATTTTCATTATTTGTTTCATCTTGTTGACAATAGAAAAAATTTCTATATATTTTTAATTGATATGTAAATTTTTCATTAGTTTTTCCTTTAAAAATATCCATCGAAAATGTTAATAATTTTTCATTTAGATTTGAAAATAAAAATATTTGTTTAATATTTATATCAACAAAACCATATGTAAACATATGATTATCATTGAATATACGTTGAAATGATTTTGATAATTGTTGTTTTTGTTGTTTATTTGTTGGTTTTTCATTCAATTGATAAATATAATTTATTTTTTGATCCAATGTTAATAATACATTCCATTCATAATTTACACTTGCATATGAATCTTCGGATAATTTAAATAATCGTAACAGATAGGATAAATTTGAATAATAAAATGCTATTATACCATGATTATGATCAGATATTGTACCCATTATTTGTAATTTTTTTGAATGTTTAGCATAAAATATTTCTATTTTATTTTTATTAATATTTTGATTATAATCACCAATTAGATAATTTAATTGATCATATGATTTTAATAGATAAATATGTATTTTACCATTTTTATTTATAGACATTGATATACTTAATAATGGTTTTTTAGTTTCATTAGTATTATTACCATTCCATTGTATTATTGACATTAATTTTTCAACAATATTTGTTGGTATTATATCATATAATCCATTTAACATTATACGACCATCAATTATATTTAATTTATAATCATATTTATCATTATTTTTAATCAATTTTCTATAATTATATTGAATAATTTTGATTGTATCATTAATATATAGGAATTGATATAAATGATTTTCAGTTAACGATAGACCAATTGTTTGTTCTAAATATTTATTACCACATGATATTGATTGTGATTTAACATCTGGATTTTGTAATGTTTTTGTACATTGATCGATAATTATAAACATTATAATAATGTTGATTATTTGATGATGCATGGTGTTCGGAAACAAATGTAGCGATTGGGAAAAACTCAAAATATTCGCAAAAAGAAACACAACAAAAAAAAAATTGAAAACACAAAATTCACTCAAAACTTTCTTCATATTTAAATCCAAAAATCAATTTAATTAAATTTTAGAAAAAATTCGAACAAATTTTTTTTCCAAAATATTCGAATTCTTTGAAAAAAATACCGTTTTCATACGTTACATGTTTTTCATTGTTTTGCTTGTATGGTTTGTTTTAACACATTCATGTAACATGTGTTGAAACAGAATCGAATCTTTTTTTGTTCCAAATCGATAATGAACGATGAGAATTTTGGTTGGTTTAATTTTGTTCAAAAATTCCTTCTTAAAGATAATGAATTTAAAATTAATTTAAATAATGATCGAAATCCCGATCATATGATTAAAATTTGTCAAAATTATATCGACAACAGCAAATTGATTGAAAAATGTTTGAAAATTAATCGAAAAGATTCGAAAAAATCTTATGAATATCGTTTGAAAGGAAATGAATGTTATGCTAGTGGTTTATGGAATGAATGTCTTCATTTATATAGCCAATCATTGCAATATGCACCGGTTTCCAATGATGATGATTCATTACCATTAGCATTTGGAAATCGTTCGGCAGTAAATTTTCAACTTGAACGATATAAATTATCATTATTTGATATCCAGATGGCAATCGATAATGGTTATGGAAATTATAAATCTGAAACAAAATTACGAAATCGACAGATTGAATGTTTGTTACGATTGAATCGTTTGGATGATGCTCGAAAAATATCCGATATGTTTGGAATCAGATTTTCATCGGATTTAAAACCATCAATTTTCGATTCGACTGAAAAACCAATTGCAAACAGTGAAAATGATAAAATCACCGAAAAAATTGGATTATTTTCATCAAAAGTTTGTCTTTCGTACGATAATCATTATGGTCGTTGTGTTCGAGCAGGTAACAATAAATCAATTGAATCAAATGAATTAATTCTTATCGAACATCCATATGTTCATGTTTTATTACCACATTTTGAATGTAAATATTGTCATCATTGTTGTCGTCAATTATCAACTATTGATCAATTTGAATGTTGTTCAAAATGTACAATTATTGCATATTGTAGTGTGGAATGTCGAAAAAATTCCTGGCAACAATATCATCAATATGAATGTTCATTATTACCATTTCTTTGGCAATTTGGTATCGGTCATTTGGTTTATCGTTTGATGGCCAAAACTAATGTCGATTTAATTTATAATATTTATCAAGATTCGCTAAATAAATCATCAAAAGAAATTGAACAAAATTTGCAACCATTTTTGCAGCCATCATCTTCCACCAGCAAATCAACATATTATGCATTATTTTCATTACAAACTCATCAAAATCAAATGAATCCTGTAGATGTTTTGTCCTATCGTATGACAGCAACATTAATTATTGAATTATTATTTCGAGCAAATCGATATCAAGCAACGGAAATCAAAAATTTGAAACAAATTCTTATTGATGTTTGTTTTCGTCATCTTTGTCAAACGATTATTAATTCACATACCGTAATGATTCCCGATTCTAATGATGGTTCTATTCCTATAGCTACAGCTTTTTATCCATCATTATCTTTGCTAAATCATAGCTGTGATCCAAATATTCAAATTATCTTTAAAAATGGAATCGAATGTTTTGTACATTCGAATCGAACGATTCGTTCGAATGAACAAATTTTTAATTGTTATGGAATTAATTATCGTTCGGCTGATTATAAACAACGACAACAATTATTATCGGATCAATATTTTTTCCATTGTAAATGTCAAATTTGTAAAAATGAATCAAAAAAAAAAAAATTTGAAATTTTAAAATAAAGATACAAATGACCGTTAGATGGCAACCTTAATCCATGACAGAAAAACTACATTTGATAAGATAAACACAAGTCGAATTCATCAAAAAACCTGATTTTGGATGTTTCTGCTGTTGAATTCAATTGATTGGTTTCAATCGAAAAAAACTGATCAGGCCATAAAATAACGATCATCAAATATCAATGTCACTTTTTTTCGAATGGCAATAATTTCTTTCGTTTGATTCACTATTAAGAATTTTATTCAAAAAAATCATTTAAAAATTAAAAATTTAAAATGTCATATCGTCGATTAATTATTGGTAATTCATTACTTCGTCAACATTTACAAAATGATTCGATTCGATCATCATTATCATTGAATATTCATCGTTCACTTTCATCATCGATTGTAAGTAAAGAATTATTTTTTACAGAAAAAAAACTAACAATTTTTTCTTATGGAATTCAAATAGCCAAAAACAAAATTATTCATTGATGGAAAATTTATTGATTCCAAATCAAAAGAATGGATCGATTTACATGATCCGGCTACAAATCAAGTAATAACACAGGTACCAAAATCAACACTTGATGAAATGAATGCAGCTGTTAATGCTGCACGACAAGCATTTAAAACATGGTCACAAACATCGATTCTAACTCGACAACAAACAATGTTTCGATTACAGAATCTTATACAGAAAAATACTGTAAGCTTTGTTTTGTTTTGTTTTTAAATAATCCATCAGTGAACTAATTTTTGTTTGATTTTTTGAAACATTTAGAAACGTTTAGTTGAAAGTATTGTACATGAACAAGGTAAAACAATGAAAGATGCTGAAGGTGATGTATTGCGTGGTCTTCAAGTTGTTGAACATGCTTGTAGTGTAACAAGTTTATTACAAGGTGAAACAATGCCATCAATTAGTCGTGATATGGATACATATTCATATCGTATACCATTAGGTGTTGTTGCCGGTATTACACCATTTAATTTTCCTGCAATGATACCATTATGGATGATACCATTGGCAATAGTTTGTGGTAATACTTGTGTTATTAAACCATCGGAACGTGATCCAGGTGCATGTATGATATTGATGGAAATGATGGAAGAAGCTGGTATACCACCAGGTGTTGTCAATATTATTCATGGACAACATCAAGCTGTGGATTTTATTTGCGATCATCCAGATATTCGTGCCATATCATTTGTTGGTTCAGATCAAGCCGGAAAATATATCTACGAACGTGGTTGTCGCAATGGTAAACGTGTTCAATCAAATATGGGTGCCAAAAATCATGGTGTTATAATGCCCGATGCTAATAAAGAACATACATTGAATCAATTGATTGGTGCTGCATTCGGTGCTGCTGGTCAACGTTGTATGGCATTGTCGACGGCTGTTTTTGTTGGAAAATCTCGTGAATGGTTACCAGATTTAGTTGAACGAGCAAAAAAATTAAAAGTTAGTAATGGTATGGATCCAGAAGCTGATCTTGGACCAGTTATATCACCACAAGCTAAACAACGAATCTGTTCATTGGTACAAAGTGGTGTTGATGAAGGTGCTCAATTATTACTTGATGGTCGAGAAATTAAGGTACCAAATTTTGAACAAGGAAATTTTGTTGGACCAACAATATTATCCGATGTAAAAACATCGATGAAATGTTATCGTGAAGAAATATTTGGTCCAGTTTTAGTTGTTTTAACTGTCGATACATTGGATGAAGCAATCGATTTAATTAATCGTAATCCATATGGAAATGGTACAGCTATTTTTACAAATAATGGTGCAACAGCAAGAAAATTTACAAATGAAATTGATGTTGGACAAGTTGGAATTAATGTACCAATTCCAGGTAAAACTAAAACTAATTACGCTCATCATTCGATAATTTCTTTCTGATTGTTTTTGTTTTTGTTTCCACTAAATAGTTCCATTATCAATGTTTTCATTTACCGGTTCACGTGGATCATTTTTGGGTGATTTAAATTTTTCTGGGAAAGCGGTTAGTATTTTTTTGGTTTCCACCTTTAATTTTCTTTCTAATTTGTTTTTTGTTTCAGGGAATTCATTTCTATACACAATGGAAAACCATAACACAATTATGGCGTGAACAAGATTCAACGGGTTTTGTATCGGCAACTAATTTTCCAACAATGAAATAATTTTTTTTTCTCTAAAAGAAAAAAAATTCTTCCAATAATCAATGGCAATCAAAATCCAATGGCAATGAATAACAACAACAACAACAATTTTATATCCTTGAACTTGAATTGAATAAAATGAATAAAGAAAAATAAACTTTTATCGGAAAGATTTTATCATCACCATTGTATATGATGGTGTGATTTTTTTGGGAAATTTTCTTCACCATCTTCAATGTTTACGCTTATATGATAAGTGATTTATTGGATAGATTGTGTGGCTCAAATTTCGTTTTAGCATCAAATCGATTAAGAAAAAAATGTTTCATTTTTCTACACATTTTAATTTATTCATCACGTTTTGTTTTGATGATAATACAAAGTAAATCAGTAAGATAAATCAGTGAATGAGCGCGTGTCTGTTTGTTTGGTTCATATCATATCATATCAGCATCTCTTGGATTATATAGCATCGATTTTTTTTTCTTTCTGTCTTGCTGGTTATCCAACTGTTTTCTGTCATTTTCATTTTTTCATTTTTGATTCACGGACACAGTTCTCTGGAACCTTGTCGAAAAAAAATACTCAGACGCAATTCTCAAATCAATTTGAATAAATAAAAACACTGAAAAAAAATCAAGGTGACCGTTTTTTTTTGTCTACGTTTTATATTTGCTCCATCATCATCATTATTTTCGGGTTTTTGGTTTACCCAAAAACATAGATTCTGCCAAATCGATTCATTTGTCTTCCGTTTGAAAACGCACACAAACACACAAAAATGTATCATCCTTCGATTCAACGATCACTTCGTTCGATGTTCAATGGTCATCAACGATCAATAATTCAACGATTATTATCATCATCATCATCATCGACGACAACAAATTATGTACTAAATGAACCAAACGAACCAAAAATCATAACCAATGAAATACCTGGCCCAAAATCACGAAAATTAATTGATGATTTAAATAAAATTCAAAATGCAGGTGCTATACAATTGTTTGTTGATTATGAAAAATCCATTGGAAATTATCTGGTTGATGTTGATGGTAATACTTATTTGGATATTTATAGTCAAATATCATCAATACCGCTTGGTTATAATCATCCAGCATTAATCGAGGCGGTTAAAGATCCAAAAAATATATCATCATTTATTAATCGTCCTGCACTTGGTATACTACCACCAAAAACATTCAATGATCAATTACATTCAGCATTACTTTCAATTGCACCAAAAGGTTTGAATGAAATTCAAACAATGGCATGTGGTAGTTGTTCAGTTGAAAATGCATTAAAAGGTAAAAATAGTCAACCATATTAGCATTTTTTTCCCAAAATTTAATTGGATCAATTTTTTTTTCTTTCCAAATTCAAAATTGTCCAGTTGTTTGTTTTTATTATCGAACATGGCAACGTGGTCAACCACCAACCGAAGAAGATATGCGTACCTGTATGACAAATGAACAACCAGGAAGTCCAAAATTAAGTATCATGTCATTTATGGGTGGTTTTCATGGTCGTACATTCGGTGCTTTGAGGTAATTTTTTTTTTCATTGATTGATTTTTGTAATCAAAATTCATTCATTTTTGTTTTGTTTTTCTTTTTTTCAACAAAAAAAAAGTTGTACACATTCAAAAGCAATACATAAAGTAGATATACCTGCATTTGATTGGCCAATTGCAAATTTTCCACGTTATAAATATCCATTAAATGATTATTTAGATTATAATCAACGTGAAGATGATCGTTGTTTAACAATGGTTGAAGAACTTATTGAAAAATATAGACATAATGGTAAACCGGTTGCCGGTATGATTATTGAACCAATACAAAGTGAAGGTGGTGATTATCATGGTTCAAAATATTTTTTTCAACAATTAAGAAAAATCTGTACAAAATATAATGTTGCAATGGTTATTGATGAAGTACAAACTGGTGGTGGTCCAACCGGTAAATATTGGGCACATGAACATTTTGAAATGGAACAACCACCTGATATTGTTACATTTAGTAAAAAAATGTTGATTGGTGGTTTTTATTATCGACCAATGTTTCGTCCGGATAAACCATATCGTATATTTAATACATGGCTTGGTGATCCATCAAAATTATTACTTTTAGATCAAGTTGTAAAAGTTGTACGAAAAGAAAATCTATTAAAACGTATTGAAGAAACGGGTGATTATCTTTTAAAACATTTGGAACAAATACAAAATCAATATCCATCAATATTGATGAATGCAAGAGGTGTGGGAACATTTTGTGCAATTGATTTTTCAACACCGGAATTACGAGATCAAGCAATTCGTAAATTACATCAAAATGGTGTACATTGTGGTGGTAGCGGTACGGCTACATTACGTTTTCGTACAACATTAACATTTGAAAATCGTCATGTTGATCAATTTGTTGAACGTTTTGATCGAACATTACGATCATTATCGAAGCAATAAACAACCCAAAAAATCAATTGATTGAAATTTTTCATTTTATTTTCTTTCCTTTATTTTCTCATCTAAAATTTTTAAAATTGCAATGTTTGTTTGCTTGTTTCATTGAATGAATTGAATAATAATGTTTGATTGAAATAATAAAAATTTTTTTGCTTTTCTATGCATCTTCGAGTAGATAATGTTGTCTTCGTTCTTTTAATTCTTGATCATGGAAAAATCTTAAATCAGGATTACCATAAATACTACCACGTTCTTGTAGTTTTTCCATATCCGGATGAAATATATAACTATTGCTTTGTGAAAATGTTTTACATGCCATTGCTATTAATGCACAACTAACACCGGCTATTGATCCGGCTGCAGATGATTTTGCTGTTTAAAATTCCAACAAAAAAAATTAATAATTTGATCCAGAAACAAACAAAACAAAACTTACCCATATAACCATAGATAAAACCAAGTGATCCACCACCGATAGCATGATTAAGAAGATCATCTTTTTGGCCACGTAAATTAGCCGCTGCATTTGATACAGCACCATACGTTGCAAAATATGCAGCTAACATTGATTTTTTAAAAAATTGACATTAAAAAAAAGAAAAGAAATTTCAAATACATACTAAGCAATGATACACGTTTAGCAAACATTATGATCGATGGTTTCCATCGTCCTAATTCAGCGGCACAAACTTCAAATGTACCATAAATAGTACCAGCTTTTAAACCAAAACATGTACTATAAAATAATTTTTCATGCGGTACAGCATAATCTGGTTTTGAATAGAAATAATTGATTAGAAAATCACGTTTTTTATTATAATTTTCCGGATCTTTAATATATTCTTTTTGAATCTGTGGTATGAATGATCGAAATGGTAGATGATTAACATCGAAACGAATGTCCGGTATATCGAGCATTTTGATTAAGACTTCAAAAAAAATCAGAAAAAAAATCCGAACAACAACGAAGACAAAACAAAACAAAAAAAAAATCAAAACAAGGATTCGACCTTTTTTCGATTTCTTGGAAAGTTTTTCTCCGAAAAAAGAATTGATTTACAGAATATTTCTCGCATGTATCAACAACAATAACAAAAACATTCGATTGTGGAATCCATTTGAATTTTAAAAAACAAAAATAAATAAAAATATGCTTGGAGCATTTGATCTTGGTGAAAAAGATTATAATATTGATGATGAAGATTTTGATAGTAAAATTGATCCAAATGATTCGAATGAAAATTTAGATGATCCTATTTATCAATTACGTTTACCAAATTATGATGATGGTGATTGCGATGGTCAAATGTTGAATGTATTCGAAACAGCTGAAAAAGGTTCAATAAAATTAATGAAACAATTTCAAAAAATTGACCCGGATTTAATCAATGCAAAAGATGCTGATGGTTATACACCATTACATCGTGCTTGTTATCAAAATCAAATCAAAATGGTTAAATGGTTAATAAAGAATGGTGCAAATGTTTCGGCATTAACTAATGATCAATGGCAACCAATACATTCGGCTGCACAATGGGGACGAACGAAAATCCTTCGAATATTATTAGCTTATGGTGCTAAAATCAATGTACAAACAAATGGTGGTAATACACCATTACATTTAGCTGTAACACGTGCAAATTCTAATCAAAAATTAATTGAATATTTATTATATCATCCGGATGTTGATCATAGTTTATTGAATAATGCTAATGATACTGCATATGATATTTGTAAACGAAATTCAATGCTTTATAAATTATGGGATCTTTTGTAGAAAATTTCATTTTCTTTACTTTTATTTGTTAATCAAAAATATAACTAAACTAAACTAAATGCATTCCTGTAAATAATTTACCTTTCAAAATGATGATACTTTTGTTTTGTTTTTGTTTCAATAAATTAAATAAATAAAGTTAGCCAAAATCCTCCAATTCAATCATTTAACCATCAAGGACAAAATGATCATAAAAAACATAATCATTTTTTACCGGATGATGATCACCTTTGAAGTGAAGAAAAAGTCTTTTTTTCAGCATTCAATTCGATGTATGATCATTATCATCGAAAAATGAAGATAATCATCAAATGTTAAACCACAAAATTAAATCATTATCAACAAACAAACAGAAAAACTATTTTTACCCTAAAGGTTTTTTGTTGTTACATTTGAATTCGAATTCGAATGTTAACATCCTCATCCACATCCACACACAGGAAACAATGATTTTCCTTATCAAAATCAATGTTTTTTTTTTGTAAAAATAAAATGTTTTAAAGAAAGAAAATAAATCATGATATGAATTTTGATATGAATCTTTCGCAATGGGTGTGTGTGTGTTGAATTTGTTAATTAACATTTGTGAAACATGAAAATTCACATTTTGTTTGAATCATCATCAAGATGTGTGTTTTTTAAATCAAGGTAACTTGTTCGAGAAAGATGTTAAAGACAATTTTGCTTGATCCTTTTAAAACATGTTTTATTTAAATCATCATCATCACTAAGTTTCCGGTGTGATGAATGCTGAATGATGGTAATGATAAAGATGTAAAATTTATATAAAGAAACATGGTTATAATAAAACCAAAAGAAAAAAGTGACGATGCTAAAATCTTTTCTCCTTTTCTTCTTAGCTATTTAATAAATGTGTATTTCGATGATGATGTTTTTAGAAGAAAAAAACTTTCCCATGATCATGATATTCAAATGGTTGATGATAATGATTGTTCATCGAACTTATCATCATCGACGTCGTCGTATCGTTTAAAAAATCAAGGTAAACATTCTTTGTGTTATAATCAACCAGCCAAGTATTTCATCATTATTATTTTTCAAAAAAAAAACGTTCCAGGATTTTTTCGCCTGATTTACCCTTTATTACCAATTTTTTTCTTTCTCCTGAAAGATAATTATCGAATATTTAGATTCAGATTATCATTCGAAAATGAGAAATAATCCTTTAAAAAAAAAATTTCTTCGTTTTCTGGACACCTGAATATTCTCTCTCTCGAGAGAAGGAATCAAAGAAAAGTCTTTCTATTGTGTCATGGCCAACATTCTATGTATTTTGAATTTTGACTTAGTTTGAAAAGAAAAACAACGAGAAAAATAATCCAACCACAATCATCGAAAGAAAAAAAAAATCCTGCAAGCTTTTTTTTGAGATTTTTTTGTGTTTAACAACCAAAAAAGAAAAGAAAAACGCATATAATACTTTTTTTTTGTGTTTGGCCATCCTCCCACCTCTTTGTTGTAATATGCACCAACGATTTACGAGCATTTTTTTTGGACAACAATCCACCACTACCCCCTCCTCTCTTTGCAAAATTGTGACAACAATAACAACAACAACCGCAGCCAACAAATAATAACGAACAAATGAACCATCTTAACGTCTATAGGACGTTATATATTTTTCTTGTATTAATCATCATCATCAACTGCTGTTTGAAATGAAACGAACAAAAAAAAGCGGGAAAACAAATTCTCTGTTCCTTTCTGTTACAAAAATAGCGAAAAAAAACGGGGCAAAAGAAGAAGAAGAACTTGCGCTATTTTTTTGGTTCGCCAAAAAAAAAAAATCTAAACACAATTTCCAATCAGCATTGTAATTTCACTCTCTCTCACCCTCCTTACACTGTGTTGCGCATAAAACATACAAATTTTCATTTTTTTTTTGTTCATCTCCCTCTTCAGTTTGTTCATGGCCATCCAGCAAAAAAAAATTGTCGGTTGGCTTGCTGAATAATCAATTTTTTGTTTTTTTGTTTTGTTCATTTCATTTTCAATGCATGCTGTGTGTATTTAAAATCATTGTTGCGCATGCAGATCATTGATAATCAACGCAGTGTGAAAGAAAGAAACACATGTGTGTGCTCAACAACAACAACAACAGCAAAATCGCGCGCGCTTAGTGAATTCATTTTTTCGTTGGTCGATCTGTTGGTTTATAACAACAACAAAGAGATAGAGAGAGAGAGGTAGAGGGAGGGATTGATGGAATTTTGAATTGTGTTTTACTTTTTTTTTACATTGTATGGTGGTGGTGGTGGTCTCGATTCTTTTTCTTTTTTTGACGAGAGAAAAAAAGTATATAAATTTAACCTCGAAATACGATTTGATCATCATCATCAATTCGGTTGTTGGTTGATCATCATGTTCTCACACATTGATCATCAGGTCAACATTTTGAATATTTTTTTTTTAATTTTTCTATGATGGCCAACATTTGTCATCATCGATGATGATGGTTGTTTTGCTGTGATTTTTTCGTCAAGAATTTTTTTTTCGCCATCAAAAATTCTTCCAAAATGTCATCATCACCGTTCACATTTGACCGGAAGTTTTTTTACGATTTTTTCTTCAAGTTTTTAATTTTAAAAATTCAATTTTTTCAACTTTTTCCCTTCATTTTGTAATAAAAAACAAGCAACAAGTTACACACGCAGACAAAAAAAAACAATAATAATAACCAACGAGAAACATAAAAGTTATGACGATATAATGGCCATGATGATGACGAATGTCTCATAATATTAAAAAATGTTATTCTTTTTCTTTTCAAAAATCATCGATCGATGATCGTTGTGTGCAGAAGAAAAAAATTGTACCATCAAACGTCGTCGACGACGACAAACAACCATCGTCAGCATCACGATGATAATTGCTGTGATTCATTTCACAATTGTCCATTGTTCAAAAATTTTTTCAGCCAAGAAAAGAAAGGTAAGCATCTTGTTTGATTTCAATTCTAATTTTTCTGTGTTTTTTTTTCTTTAGAATTTTCTCCTTGCAACAACAACAACAGCATAAAATTCTCCAAAATCCAAATTGATTTATCATCACCATCTTGATTATCATCGTTTATTACGATACTCATAAGCAGGTCTGGACAAGTGGCGATATTTCTGATTAGAAAATTTTTTTCCATCCATTTCTTGTTTAGAAAATTTCAAATATTTTTCTCTTTCATTGCATCCTCTCATTGATGATGACGATCGAGAAAAATATCTGAAATCAATATAAACATTTTGAGAAAGAAAAGCAAGGAAAAAAATTATGCAATAATTCTAAAACAAGACGATAATATTGCACTAGTCCCGGCCTGTTTAGAGTTGAATTGAATCATCGAAAAATCTTTTTATTTTTTTATCATTTTTTTTCTTTGTTATAGGTAATTTTTTTTTAAATTTTTAACCCAAAAAATCGAAATAAACATTCCAAATTTTTTTTTCCAAAATCCAAATGTATCATTTTTTTTGACAAAGCTAATTGTATCGAAATAGTTCTGCTCGGAAAACCGTTGAAATAGTTTTTCCTAAAATATTATAAATAGGTTCCGGTTCAAGTTTGGTTTTCCTTCTGTTCAACAGCAACAAAAAAAAACCGCGCAAGCTACCTGGCTCATTTTGGTGTGTGTGAAAGCATTTTTTCATTGTTCCAAAAAAAAGAATGAATTTCATTTTCGAACAAAGAAAACAAGCTCAACAATAACAACAAGCGCAGCGTTGATTGATGGTTCCACACACACAATGTTTTAACCCATGCTAAATAAAGGAAAGGAGAAGGGTATTTTTGCCAAAGATTGCGTGGCCATTGTTGTTGTTCACATAACAAGAAAAAATCCTTGAAAAACTTTTTTTAGAAAGAAAAAAAAATCATTGGATCGGTCAAATCCCGATCCTGTACTTTTTCTATTTTCCAATATTGATCCTTATTACCTTGATAAAATGTGACCTTATTGTGTGATTATAGTGGGGTGATGATAATAGTGGTGGTGCAATGTTCCTGAAACACCGACATTTGTTTTTTGTTGGAAAAAAATGTGTCCTGATGGTGGTGGCCATTATCATCGGTGGTTTATTCAAACCGTTCTTTTTTTTCATTTGGTTTGTTTGGTGGTGGGGTAATCAAAATTCAGATTTAGCAAAATGAAAATTTGTTGACATTTGTTTGTCCTTATAAAAATCATACATTTTTATGGTATGTTTACATTTGCACACCCGAATCTTTCATTCAAACCAAACTGAATGCAAATCAGATCAGATCAGAAATGAAAAATCTCAATTTCAAATCTAACAAAACAACAGGGAATCTTGATTGATTTTTTTTTCATTGGGTTTGGCCATTAATTTTGAATTTTGTTTTGAATGAAAAATTTGAAAATTTTTTTTTTCTGGATCCAAACAAAAACTTGAGGCTGGATAATATAACCATTTTAACCCTAAATAATCAACAACCGGTTGTGGGTGTGTTGAAATAGTTTTTTGTTTTCGTTCGAATTCGAATTCGAACGAAAAACTTCTGAATCTCAATCAAGGTTTTTCAGGTAAAAATTTTCAATTGGTTTTTTTTGGTCTTGTTTGTGTAACCGGAAAAAAAATTTTGCTTTCCTCTCTTTGTTCATTCACGATGGCAGATGGTCTTTTTTTCCTACAAAATTATTGCCAAGATAACTGAAGATGATCTGTTGCGCGGTGTTTGATCATCATCATCATCATCATTAAATACAATGACCGTTTTTTGAATGATGAACAGCTAGGCAGATGATAATTATTATTCCACAAAAAAAAAGTTAACGGTGGTAACCAAAGAAAAAAAAAGGTAAAACCTTGAAACGTTTTTACTTTACTCAAATCACTACCATCAAACATGTGACATTAATGCAAAATCTTTTTTTTCTTTTTGGTTTTTCAGATTTTTAGCCCGCCAAAATGAAAAGAAAAATCATCAATTCGGAATGAACAAATTTTCATTCATTTTTTCTAGACAAATCGGTCATCATCATTGCCAAAAAGGCTGCAAATTGCTTTTCAATTCCCTCTTATCTTCCCTCAGAATATGTTTGCGACCCAATCCAACCAACCAAAAATAAACAGTAAACAAATCAAATTGATGATGAACGAAACAACCAAAAGAAGAATGAAAAAACCGCGTGAAAAAACCAACAAGCTGAATTTTGAAGTCAAAGTAAAACATTTGAAGGCCTCCGAACGAAACACGCCATTTTCGTGAAAAGTGTATTCATCATGCATAGAGAGGAACCGTTGCCAACCGAAAAAAAGCAAAAATTTTTGCTTTTTCTGTCCATCATAAAAACAAACCTAAGAAAAGTGTAATTTCGTTTCGTTTTTGTCTACATTTAACCTTGAACGATAATTTTGTTTTTTGGGAAATAACAACAACAAGGCAAAGCATTGAAACAAACCAAGCCAGCCAACCTTCGACTCGAAAATTACTATTACAGCAAGCAAACCGAACAACAGCAGCAAATAGAATATTGTGTTTTGGAAGACAAAAAAAAACGGTCAGAATGCAGTACAGAAAACATTAAAATGCAGAGGGAAAGGGTCATCATCATCATCAATAATGGATCAGCGAATGCGCCGAATGGTCTTCGTCAAAGTAACAAAAAAGCACATGATCAGCACAATCACCATTATCAGTCACAATGTCCAAGGTCAAATGTTTTTTTTTCTGATCATCAAATTGGCAGCCATAATGTTTTTTTTTTGGGTTTTTTCAGATTACGAAAAAGAAAAATTCGGGCGGTAACCGACCAACTATTAACTATGGGGAAAAAAAGCCGGGTTTGAACTATAGCACCACCACCATTTCAAACATAAACATAGACATTTGCGGGTAAAAATGATAAACAACGAAAAAAAAAATTTGTTTAAAAAACCGCATATCAAAACATTGAATGCCATCCCCTTTTTTTTCTTTTTCCAAAACATCCAAACCAATCAGAGATGTTTAAATGCCAAGAGAAAAGAAAAGAAAAGTCACCCTTCAACCTCTTTGTTTCCCCATCCAACAAAAACAAAAAACAAAGTTCTTCAGATTCATTCCTTGAATGGAATATTATCATCATCATTCTTCATATCGATCAAGTTGTTTTTCATTTTTTCTTCCACGAACAACCCTATATTGTCGGAAATATGCATCGTTTGAATATTTCGTTGGTTTTTTTTTTGATAAAATTAATGTCATCATGTCATCATCATGTGATGTGTCCTTGATGAATTTAGTTTACCATAAATTTTTCATAAATATGGTTCTGATTTTTTTTCGTTATAGGTTCTTCTGGTTGCTGGTTTTTGATGATGATGTGTGTGTCATTCATTCAACAAATTGGTATAATTTGTTGTTTCTTCTTTCGGTGTGTGTTCTCTATATCGCCCGAAAAGCTGATGATGATGATGAGAATATGACATTGAATGATTTTTGTCGAAAACAGAAATTGCGCTAGCTTTATTTTTGGCCACTAAAAATCGGCACAACTCTTTTGTGTTGTTCTCGAATTTCAAAAATTCTTGAAGAATTTTGTTTAAAACTTTGTTTCAAATTCATTTGACCTAAAATTAATGATAATTAGCACACCCCGCCGGTGAAAAAAGCTATCATAAAATCATTTTTAAAAAAATCAATAAAAACCTTGTGATTCATTTTCATTTATGATCGGATTCAATTCGATTTACAACAACCAGAAATAAAACACACACAACAACAACAACAACAACAAAAAAGAATTTCAATTTTTTTTCTCGCCTTTAAAAACGAGAAAAGAAGATTATAATTTTCCAATTCATATTCGAAAAAAAATGACAGAATTGTTGTTGTTTGATAGACAAAAAAAAACGAAATCAAATTAGAAAACGAAAAAACAAGAAGCATAAGAAGAAGAAAACCTTGAACCTTGACCATTGTTGTTGTTGATCATAATGGATAATTCTTTTTCTTTTGTGTTCGAATCGAACGTTTTTGGTTGGTAGGTAGGTAGTTAGGTTTGTTTGTGTTGAAATGGTTGGTGTATGGTGTGTTTATGGTCCATCATCTTACCTGAAAATTTTACCTGAAAGTTTTTTTCGTTTTTTTTACCTGCTGGCTATTATTATGATTACTTTTCTATCTTTACCTGTAAGGAAATATAATCATTGCAAGCAACAACAAAAGAGTTTTTCCCCATTGATCAATCGTTGGTGTGATGGATGGATGGAACGTTTGGTTTTTTTTTCTGATTTTTCTTGTCGTAAATTTTCGAGAAAAAGCAACATGCAAACAAATATGATCAATATTTTATTATTATTTCGTTTCGAATGAATTTTGACTGGTGTGGCCAGCACACAAAAAAAAAGAAAGAAATTATCATGTTTGGACACACAGATGGACATTTGTTAATGATTTACATTCGGTATTTGTTTGGTTCGAGGTTCGACTCGAACGAAAAATCGAAAACAGATTTTCAGGTTTTTTTTCACTGTGTGATTTGCGATTTATGAATTTCGATTGAAAAAAGGCTTTTTTCTTGTTCTTTTTCGGACATGAAAAGATTGAATTATGATTTTGTTTTTTCAAACATCTGGAAAAAATTTGAAGAAGAAGAAGAAAAAGAAAAATCAATTTGTCTGTATGATCAAAACGAAATAACTGAATGCAAACAATATGATTGTATGAAAAAATTTCCAATCAAATATACAAATATTATATATTTGTAAATGAAAATATTCACTATAAATTTCAATCATTTCATAATGATAAATTTGTTTGGTAATTTTTGATCGTTGCCATAGTGAGGAAATTTGATCGATAATCCGTATCATTGATGTTTCATCATTATCCATCGATTGATTTAATTGATTCAATAATTTTTTCATTGTTTTTGATCTGAATGTTGTCATCATTATCTGATCTTGACGATGATGATTTTTCGAACGAAAAACATTACCAAGCTCAATGAATAATGATCGAATATTTAGATCGAAATAAATCCAAAAAAAACCACCAATAAAATGTAAACTTGATACAATAAATTGTGCGAATGATATTTGTTTTAAATAATAACTTAATGGTGTCATTATTAGATAAAATGTTTCACCAATCACAAATGTAATCATTGGATAGCTCCAAATTTGATTAAATTTTTCGTTGATTGTTGTTAATGATCGAATTCTTGATAAACATTCTCGTTCATCAATAATATTGGATTGAATTTGTTTCAATATTTTTTGAATTGTTTGCCGTATGGCATATTTATAATAAACAACCACTAAATATGTTAATGATTCATTCATTAGGATCATGATTAATATATAAAATTCTAAACATTTTGATATGGTTATCATTTGAAATTCTTGCATCATGATTGTATCATTATTCTGTGGACTACATGCCCAATAAATGGATAAACTATTCAGATTGCAAACAATCAAAAACATTATCGATATGATTTGATGATGGAAATTAGTATTGTTCGGTCGATAATAAACATCTTCAAATAATGATGAATTAAATAATTGAATCAAACGCTTTCCATTTATCATATAGAATATATAGAATGATAAAAATAATATAAAAAATAATGTATCATTGATTTGTTCGATCATTTTACCAAATAAATTTGGTGTAATTTTCGATAATTCTTGCCGGTCATATTCATTTTGATATGATTGATAGATGAGTCTATATGAATAGATGAACAATATGATTAGAATCGTACTTTTGATCAATGAATAACGATGTTGCCAATCGAAACGGCCAAATGTAAATCCAATCAATCTATGGAAACAAGAACAAAAAAAGATAATTTTAAAATTCGTAAACAAACAAGAAATTCTTACTCAAAATAGTTGACAAAGATTCGAAGACAAAATATTCGAATGTTCATCGCTCAAAAACATTCGAATTGGTGGACAATCCTGAAATTCAAATGAAATCGAAATGAATAGAAATTAGATTCAATTTTGATGACAAATTCAATTCAATTCATCGTTCTATTATCGATTTTTGATTAATCAATCAATCAATCGATCGATCGATTTGCAATTAATTAATTAAATTGATAATTTTGCCATTTTGTTTGACAAAATTTCGATCGAAGGAAATTCTGAAGAAAAAAAAAACGTTGGACTAGTGCTGCCATCCAGTAGCGAATGAAAACAAACAAACAAACAAACCGGAAAATACCGAAATGAAAAAAGAAAAATCTTTAAAATTTCCAAGAAAAAAAAACTCTTTAAATTTTTATTGTCAAAAGTAGAAAATGATTTTTAGAAAAAGTTGTTAATTTCATTAATATTACAATAAGAAATGTCCATTGTGGAAGATAAAAAGTCCCGAAAAGTGATAATTAAACGACGAAATAGAGAAATTTATAAAAAGTCCAGAAAAAATCCAATTTGATTGATGGATACGAGAAAAATCAGTATTACACTTTGTTATTCTTGTTTTTATTAATGGCTTGAGCAGCAACAGCAGCAGCAGCACGAGCTTGAATTTTTTTAAAATCCGGCATTGGACGTGCACGAAATTGTCCTGCAGGTTGATTACCATCCTGTTGATCATTACGATGTTTTAGTTGATAGATTTTTGAACGATAATCAGTACAAAAAATTGGTGTACGAGCTTTAGTCAATTGACGTTTAATTGGTTTTTTTAATTGTTGTTGGATGGATGGAATTTTCGGTGGAATTGGCTTGGCTGATTTAATTGTTGCTTCCGAATCAGTTGTTTCAATCGATGATGATGATGTTAATGTTGCAATACGATTTGATTCAGCTTCAATTTTACGACGACATTCAGAACGAATTGCAGTTAACAAACGTGGTGGTCGTGGTTTGGTTAATTTATTTCGTTGCCAAACACCTTTTGGTTGATATTGTCTGGCTGAATGTAAAAAACGTTGTGTTTGTTCGGCCATCGACATATAACGTTGTGATTTACGTTCACTAAGAATACGTTGTGGTAATGTTGATAATCGATTTATTGTAGCCATTGATAACGATTTACGTGAAATATTATTAGTGGTCAATGATTTTTTTGGTTGTGGAGTAACATCTTTCTTCGAATCTTCGATTGTACCTTGTTTACGATTTTCTTTACCATCAACAACAGCAGCAACATTTTTTGGTTTTTCATTTTCATCAGATTGTTCATCAATAGCTGTTTTATCATTCGCATCATCATCTTGATTCAATGTACGTGAAAATCTTTTCCAATATTTTTGTGAACGATCATTGTCTATTGTTACCATTTTTTTCGTTGTAGTTTCGGTATTTTTCTTATTACGTAAAATACCAAACATTGGTGTTGGTTTACGATTTTTAATCTTTAATTTTCTTTGTTCAGCTTCATTCATTGGTGATGGTGTTTTCATTATATCAGTCGATTCTATATTTTCGGGTAAACATTCTTTTTCATTATCAGCAATTACAATACGAACAACCGGACTTGTAACCAAATATGATTGTCGTTTGAATGATTGATCAGGATTTAAATCAATCTCAGATCGTTCATTAACATTATCAACGATCGAAGATTTTGGCTGTTCCAAATCATCAGTAGATATTTCATGGAAATTATCTTCTGGTTCTTCATTTTCGGATAATAAATCTTCATTTTCGGACAACAAATCTTCATTAATAGCACCATTGGTATCTGGTTTGTCAGCTATTGTTTCATCGTTATTTTGTTTATCATCAACAGTATCTGTTGTAATCTTTTCTTGATTTGACAATTGACAATCACCATTATCATTTGTTACGCCATCCAATACTTCAGACATTTGTGAAAAATCAAATGTTTGTGTTTCGAATTCTTTATCAAATCGAATAGTTTTCATTGATTTTCGATGTGAATAACTTTTTCGTTTATTAAATTCACCAACATTTGACCGTGTTTCCCGATATGGTAGATTACCATTTTGATGTAATCGGCGTAATGGTGTTTGGCGTAATTCATAAACAACATTTGACATTGTTTTGGCCAATTTTAAATCCGGTGTTTGATAAAATGATTGTGATGATTCATCCATAACATTTTCTTTAATTGATTCATTACCATTACCATTACCATCATTATCATCATCATTGTATTCGTGATTGACCACTTTTTGCATCCGAAAAAGAAAAAAATCAATAATCATCATTTTATATTCAATTTACAAAACTTACAAAAATAATTATCATCACCATCATTCGATTGTTGATTATCCATTTTATTAAAATCAAAATAATGTGGTGCTTCATATTCCCAAACATTCGATTTCAATCCATCATCATTATCATTATCATCATTCATAATTGTTGAATCCAATTCATTATCTTGAATTTCGGCCATGATTAATTTTCAGTAGATTCAATCAATAATCAATTCTTTAGCGTCAAAAAAAATAACGATGATCAATTCAAAACGATGATCAAAAACAGAAAAAAAAACGAATTTCCAAAACGGCTTCAAAAAACACAAATCAAACATACACACAGACAGAGACAGACAGAAGATTTTTCTTTTTTTTTTTGACCGTTGAAAAATTTGCCGCCTATGTGCTGCCATAAAAATCGAAATATAGCAGAAGAAAAAAAACGCGCGCGAGCGCGCGCTAAAAAAAATTGTTTCGATTTACGCATGTGTAAAACGGTTTGGATTTTTTAAATAAAACAAAAAAAAAAATTATCTATCCTCCTCCTCCTCGTTGCCTCGTTTCGTCATTTTCAAACCGTATTCAGCAAGCTTTTTTCTTTTTGGTTTGTTTGGTTTGTTTGCTCGTCTAAAAATCAATCAATATTTTTTTTGCCAGAATTAAAAATCCATCAAAGATGATCAATCTACATCCAACATTACAAAAAGTATCATCAATATCCAAAGTTGCTTATCGTTCGATGATAGCAACCGAATTGGCACGTTTACTAAATGCTGATTTTAAATTGAATTTTATCGATCATGATGATAATGATAATAATAATTCAAATAATAATGATAAATCGGCTACAATTTTCGGTGCCACACTTACATTCGAAGGTATATGTTCAATTAGTCAATTGATTGATTATATTTCCAAACCAGATCAAATTATTGAAGAAGGTTTATTTCGTAAATCTGGTGTACGATCCCGGCAACAAGAATTACGTACAATGATTTCATCCGGACAAACAATCGAAATTGATTGTCAAAAATATTCTGTTCATGATTGTTGTGATCTATTGAAAAGATTTGTATCCGAATTACCACAATCAATATTAACAAATGAATTGCAGAAATTTTTTCTACAATCATTACGATTAGAATCCGGACAAAAACAATTGGATACAATACGTTTATTAATATTATTATTACCGGCACCGAATCGTAATTTTCTTTATGAATTATTAACATTATTCGATAATATTGCTAAACATTCGAATCAAAATCGTATGAATATTGAAAATTTGGCAACAATATTTTCACCATCTATTTTTCGTTGTCAATGGTCAATGACAACATCAAAATCATTATCATCATCATCGACAAATTCTTCACATCAACAATCAAATACTGTACAAAATATGCTTCTTGCCAATCAAGAATCAATACAATGTTTATCGATTATGATACAAAATGTACGGCTAATTTTTGAACCACCTGAAAAATTAATCAATGATGCTGTAATTTATCTTTCCAATCATATTCGTCTACAAAAACGAACGTCTGGACCGGAGAATATGATTAGTGTAACAAATTTATCGGCACTTCCAACAACCAAATTCTGTGCAACAACTGAACAACATTATTCAGCTAAAGATTATACTGAACGACAGGTTTGTTTGTTTGTTTGTTTTTCTAAATTGTACTTTTATCTTTAACCAAAATTTCCGATTAATAGTTGGCCGAATTATATGCACAAATGCAATCAATGGCATCACAATCACCATCGATACAGAAAAAATTGAAAAAATTTAATCATCTTAAAACATCGGCGGCTACCACACCAAAAAATCTATTAAAACGTGATAAAAAACAACAAGAACTTATTAAACAATCATTAAAAAAATCAGCATCGATTAAAAAATCAACGGATAAAGGATTAAAATCATTGTTTAAAAAAATAATGATGACACCAAATAGTGAACGTAAACGTCGCGTTTCATCATCATCATCGCCATCATCTGTATCCGAATCATCATCGATAACACCTGTTATTACTACTACTGCACCAAATAGTACACCAAAAACTTCCAAAAAATCAGTTGATGATAATTCAATGTCACCACGATCAATTGTTCCGTTGGATGAAAAAACAATTTCCGAATTGCCTGTATCACCAATTGGACGTAATAATTCAAAATCGACATTAATTTTTAAACGACGACCAAGTCAAACATTTCATCAGACAAAATTACCGATTGCTATTGTTACACCTACAACTACTGTTGCGTCAAAATTGGAAAATCATGATCATCAAGAGAAAAAACCACGTCTTCCGACACCAATTCGTTCATGTTCCAATTCAATCATATCATCTACATTGTTATCACGTGCTTATCATACACAAGCTCCAATGACAACAATACCGGAACGTATTGATGGCAAAGAAAATCATCGAAATAATAATGCTAATAATACTGATGTTCGATTACCAATGAAAATGATACGATCATTACCAACGCCGTTGCGTAATTACAACAACAACAATGATGATAATGATGATCAAGCTAATGAAGATGATAAAGATGATGATGAAAATATACGTCGAAAACGTGTAAAATATTTAGCATCAGTATATGAACAATTAATTTCATTACAGAATCAAAATTCAACAACAACAACTGGTAATAAACAATCACGAATACCAATCATTAATAGATCAATATCATCAAATCGTTCAATTGTTACCAATTCGAATGATGATGATAACGACGATGATGATAATCTTTCTGATTATGTATCATTAACATCGGTTTATACAAAAAAACCATTAGTTCGAATCGAATCTAATCAACGTCCATCATCATCATCGACGACAACAACATCGACAAACACAATTCGTCATCCAACACCAAAACGTTCATCAAATTCAATGCGTATAACATCCAAACATACTCGATTATGAAATCAATGATGATAAAAAAAAAATTCTAACAAAAATTTGCATAATAATTTGTTTTATTTAATCAATTTTGAAAAAATTTGTTTCATTCATAATCATATTTCATTATTAAAATAATTCTAAATAAAGGAAACGATTGAAAAATTCTTGAATCCTTGTTATCCTGATCAATAACCAACTTTGATCATCTGAAGAATGACTATAATATTACCCGTGCTAAGCGAGCGAGACTTCGAATCACTATAGTGACAAACATTGAACCCAAATATATACAAAATAGCTTTAGAATAAAATTTTGATTGAATCATTATTTAATTTGATATTTTTTTTTGTTTTGAAAATTTTTTTGAATCGAAAAAAAAGAAAGTTTTTAGACAATATATATTAAAGAATATCATCAAATGTGTGTGTGCTTGTTTTTGTTTTTGTTTGAAACTAGAGACAATGTGTATTATATAATATATGATTTGATTTAACCGATAACGATGATTTTTATGCTAAAAAATATATATTATTTTTTCTTCTTTTGTTGTTATTCTTCTTATTTAACGAATAGTTGAAAATAAATCCAATGCTGATTTTGTTTCTTTTTGTGATCGTGCTTTTGAGAATACATTCCAAAAACGTAATGTTTCATCACCGGCACCGGTCACAATCGATTCACCATCCGGTGACATTGCCTAAATATGGAAAAGTTGGTGAAAAAAAATGATTATTGATTTTCAATTATAACAACAACAAAAAAATGACTTACAAGATATAAAACACGATATGTATGGCCAGTTAATTTAGCCAACTGAACTAATGATGGATATTTCCAAACAAGAATTTGATTCTGTGAATATCCATGTGTTGAAACTAATTCGGATGCATGTTTTGACCATGCTAGATTGCAAACTTGTGAACCAGTATCAACACATTGTATTGGCTGTCCGGTTAATGTATTCCAAAATCTAATATGACGATCTGAAGTACCACCACCACTTGCTAATAAACCATGATGATGTGGTGACCATGCAATTGCTTTTACAGCAGCTAAATGTTCAGTATATGTTTGAACCGGCTGATTTGATGATTGATTCCATATAAATATTCGATTATCATTACCACCAGATGCTAATAGTTGATTATCTGGTGACCATTTTAAACCACAAACTTCTTGTCGATGGCTAAGTAATTTACGTTCAGCTAATAATGATGAACGAATATCTCTTTGAATTATATAACGATCACGTGAACCACTTGATAATGAATCACCATTCCATGCTAAACAACCAACACGTGATGAATGACCATCAAATTGTTTGATACATTTTAATGCAGCTACATCCCAAATTTGCACGAACCCGCGTTGTGTACCGACAGCGACCAAATGTCCCTAATGATAATTAGAATTTTTCAATTGAAAAAAGAAACTAAATTCGTTAATTAATTATTTACCCTTTCGGACCATGAGACTGATGTGATTGAATTACCGGTTGATGAAAAATCGCATAAACGTGTTACTTGACTTGTACATGCACTCCATAAATAAACACTAAAACCAAGACCAACACTTAATATATTTGTTGATGACCAATCAACAAGATTTAAATAAAAATCATCTTGTAATTCAGGTGCATCCAATATTTTAAATGGCATTTTAGATATTTTTCTTGCTGTTTTTCTTGGTGATCGTAACATTTTTTGACTTTTTGGACTTATTGGTGATAATGAATATGGACTTGTTGGTTCGCTACGTATTTCACGTGTACGAAACTTTATTTTTTAAAAAAAGCAGAAACAGAAAATAATAACGATCATTCATTTTTTATTATTATAAAAAAAACATTACTTACCCGAAAAACATTGCGATTCATTAATGGTGTTAATACTTTACGTTCTTCAATCTGTTTATATTCATTAATATCTTCAATTTCAGCTCCTAATAATTCATTTTTCAATAAACATTGATATGCAAGACCATTACGAAACATATCTGATTGACCTGAACTATTGTTGTTATTATTACTGCCAGGAACCGTACCGATATTATTACCCGTTCCATTATGGCCAACAACATTTCCTTGTCCAACAGTATTTGTTGTTGTTGCTGTTTGACCATTCATTGTTGCTGTTGTTGTTGTTGCTGCTGGGCCTGTTGGTGATGATGATGATGATTGTGATGATGAATCTTTTTGTTTATAACGCATCATTGATGTTCTTGTTGTTTCTTTTATCATATTATAACGTAAATTCCAATTATGTGGTTCACGTATTGGTATAAAACGATCCGAACATTCAGGCGTTGTTCGATAACGATAATATTGTGTGGGTGATTTTAATGGTGGTGAATATAATATCGATGGTGGTGTAAATACTGATCTCATTGTTGTTGTATCCGTTGATAATGATGATGATGTTGGTGAAATTATTGTTGATATTATATATGGATCACAATCATATTTTGATTGTTGCGATGTTGATGCCGATTTTATAACGGTATCCATGATGCTCAAATGATTTTTTACGTTTCGAAATTCAAAAATTGTCAGTTAATATTTTGCATTTTCGAAGAATATCAATGAATCATCACAAATTTTATTATCTAAATAAACTAATCAAATGGAAAATTAGAGAAAAATATTAACAAAATACACACACACACAATCAATAGATTGAATCAAAGATTACGAAAAAAAAAATCAAAAATAAACAAAACAAAAATAACAGAATTACCAGATCAAAACACTCATCAATTTACGCATAACGCATAACACACGCCGAATCATCATCATCATGATGGATTATCACATAACAGAAAGTAGTGGTATTATCGAATGTTGAATGATCGCATGCGCAATTCGATTTTGTTTCTCAGATTTCGGGATTTAAATGTTTGTTTTTTTTTTGCTTTGAAAAAAAATTCTAACGAACATTTTAACTAGTGGTCTTTTATTTAGTTAGCTTGTGAGATTGGTGGTTTTTAATCAACTTATTTTTTTTGCTACTACTATGTAAAAAGTAGTGGATTTTTTTTTGTTGGTCGAGTCCAATGATTCAATGATGAATATCCATCCATGGATGGATATTGATTGGCGAGATGATTTTCCGTTGAAATAAATCCCAGACCACGCCTTTATTTATTTTCGTTGATAATAAATTGATTGAGGATGCACACAAAGTTTTGAATCTAAATGATGCTGGGATTTAATTTTTTTTTTGAATTGAAAATTTATTGGAATTGGATTAGGAAATTTAGAGAAAATTTTGAAGAAAAAAAAAATTTAGAATTCTTTCGTCGGATACAGAAATTCTACCGGAATAAACATACAACTATCGATAGATGTGATGAACACTCGATGTATCGATTACACTATCGATAGTTATTTTTGGAATTCGAATGAAATGGATGGATTTTTTGTTGTTTTCCTTTTGTTTTTGCAATTTTGTATAAATTCTTATTTTTCCACTGGTGTTTGTATTGATGTTGATGATTTTCGTGGTCCTTTTTGATTATCATCATCGATAATATCATCATCTTCAATCAATTTATTGTGTACACGCATTAATCCTTTAAAATATTTAACAGTTTTAATACGTAATTCTTGTGTTGCATCTTCATCACAAATAAACAATGTTTTTGGATGTAATTGAAATGCTGATACTGTCCACATATGATTAACACCTTCTTCGATTGCTTTTGATAATGCTAATGCTTTATGTACACCTGTAATCAATATAATTACTTCACGTGAATCCATTACAGTACCAACACCAACTGTTAATGCTTGTCCAGGTACTTTGGATAAATCATTTTGAAAAAAACGTGCATTAGCAACAATTGTATCCAATGCTAATGTTTTTACACGTGTACGTGATGCTAAACTTGAACCAGGTTCATTAAATGCAATATGACCATCCGGTCCAATACCACCGATAAATAATTCAATACCACCATGTTTTTTTATTTTTTCTTCAAATTTTTCACATTCTTCATCTAAATCTTTAGCATTTCCATCTAAAATATGTGCATTTTCCGGTTGTATATCGATATGTTTGAAAAAATTTTCATACATAAATGAATGATATGATTCAGGATGATCACGTGGTAAATGAACATATTCATCCATATTAAATGTAACAACATATTTAAATGATATTGTTCCTTGTCTTTTTTTTCAATTTGAAAAAAATTAGTTAAGAAAATTGTCAAAAAAGATTTACGTAAAAAACTTACTTGTAAAATTCAATCAATTTACGATATGTTCCTAATGGTGTTGAACCGGTAGGCAGGCCAAGTGTAAACAAACGATTTGGACCCGGTTGAAATAGTCGAATACGTTTACGAATATATTTGGCTGCCCATTCTGAAACCAAATCATAATTATCCTGAATAATTAATTTCATTTTTTTAATGTTTTGTTTTTCTTTATTTCTCACAGGGAAAACAACTCAAATTAACTCAATCAAAAGAAATCGAAAATCAACAAACAACTGGATTCGATTTTTTCTGGATGAAAAACATCCTCATTAAATTTGTTTATCATTTTTTTCGATTTTAACTTTGTATACTGGTGGTCGTAAATCTGTTTTTTTTTTTGCCATTACTGCTCATCATCATCATTATCTTCATCAACAAAGCAGTAAATATTTTTTGAATATAGAGAAAAACAACAACAACAACAACAAGTGTCATTCAAATGTTTTAATCAAATCAATCGATCAATCAATCAATTGATAAGGTTTTGTATTTGGCAAAACAAAAAGCATCTCTGTTGTTTTCTTTCAATGGATTCAATGACACACTTATAGAATCAAAATTCAAATGAATCCCGTATATGAATGGGTTTTTTTTTAATTTTTTTGGTAATTTCCGGGAAATTCTTTACTTAATTACATTATGTAATTAATTTTTAGAATAGAATTTTATAAAAACAATTGGATCAGATTTATTCATAAATTCGGTAAATTAGCCATATACAATTTGATTGAGAATTGATTTTTGTTTTTTTGTTTCCTTTTCTGAATACAGAAAATCAGATATTTCAATAACACCAAATGCCTTTAGGTGTAGGAGGTAATTGTAATAATCATCGTTGTCATAGCCATCGTAATTGTCAAAAATCAGCACATACAAGTAATCATCATCATCATCAACAACAACAACAACCGCCAATAATAACACCAAAAACAAAACAACAACAACANTCGAAAATCAAAAAACAACTGGATTCAATTTTTTTGGATGAAAAACATCCCCATTAAATTTTTTTTTCATTTTTTTTTTTTTTTTTTGATTTTAACATTGTGTACTGGTGGTCGTAAATCTGGTTTTTTTTTGCCATTACTGCTCATCATCATTATCTTCATCAACAAAGCAATAAATATTTTTTTGAATATAGAGAAAAACAACAACAACAACAAGTGTCATTCAATGTTTTAATCAAATTAATCAATCAATCGATCGATCAATCAATCAATCAATTGATAAGGTTTTGTATTTGGCAAGACAACAAATCTCTCTTTGTTTGTTTGTTTGTTCAATGGATTCAATGACACACACACTTATTGAATCAAAGTTCAAATGAATCCCGTATCTGAATGGATTTTTTTTTTCGGAAATTCTTTACTTAATTACATTATGTAATTAATTTTTGGTTCGAAAATCGAAACAATTGGATAAGATTTATTTATAAATTCGGTAAATCAACCATATACAATTTGATTGAGATTTGTGTGTGTAATCAATTGATTTTGATTTTGATTTTTTTCTGAATATAGAAAATCAGATATTTCAATAACACCCAAATGCCTTTAGGTGTAGGAGGTAATTGTAATAATCATCGTTGTCATAGCCATCGTAATTGTCAAAAATCAGCACATACAAGTAATCATCATCATCATCAACAACAACAACAACCGCCAATAATAACACCAAAAACAAAACAACAACAACAACATTTAAGACAACCAAGACAATCATTAAGACGACAACATACATCATCACGTTTGATTGAACAAAATAATCGTCGAACTAAATCAATAAGTCATTTAAGACATCAACAACAACAACAACAACATCAAATTGATCACAAACAAGATTTATTACAAGATTTACCTACTGTTTATATTGCACCTGATGATTATCAACATATTTATCATAAACAAACTGGACAACAACAACAACCTCCACCCCCACCATTATTGCCACCACCACCACCAACGCCACCACCAATATTAAATAATGATCCAGTCGATGCTGTAGATAATTTACCTACAGTTTATATTGCACCTGATGATTATATTCATATTTATAAACGTCAACCGCAAACGCAATCACAACAACAACAACAACAACAATCGCAACCACCACCAACGCCATCACCGATAATTAATAACGATCAAGTCGATGCTGTTGATAATTTACCAACAGTTTATATTGCACCTGATGATTATGTTCATATTTATAAACGACAACCGCAACAACAAACGCAACAACAACAATCATCTCAACAACAACAACAAAATGAATCAAGAAAACGATCATCATCAACGGTAAAATTATTTAATCGTCATTTACCAAAACCAATACAACCAAAAACCCAAGCATCACCTCCACCACCACTACCGTTATTACAACCACCATTATCACATCAAAGATTAATGAGATTTTTTTCAATTATCGATAATTATGATATCAATGATGATTATGATAATCAACATCATCAACAACATCAACATCAATATTTAAATTATCATCGTGAAACTGAACAATTATTTAAATGTTATCCACGTTGTCCATCATTATGTAATAATCATAATAGTTCAGGTCCAAGTAATTTACGTTTACGTTGTTTAAGACAAAAACCGGCTTGTATAGTACCACCACAATCATTAACACAACAACATTTACCAACATCAATGATACCTATTCGTTTAATAGATGCTATACGAAAATTTATTTCAACACAAAAATAACAAAATATAAAAAAAAGAAATAAAATTTTTATCATTTTTTTCCAAAATCAATTTTTCTCTTTTTTGTTTGCTGCAAATACGCTGACGACAGCAAAATGATGATATTTTGATTGAACTTTTCTCTCTTCGATTGATGCTTTCTCTCTCTCTCTTCGATTGATTTTTTCTCTTTTTCGTTTCGATCGATAATTGGCTGAATAAATATTCTGATGAAGGCGTCATCAATATCGTGTAGGGCCCAGTGGTCTAGGGGTATGATTTGCGCTTTGGGCAACAATGTGATTCTCTTCAAAAGTCTTGGTTTCTCTTGATTCTCAATCGAATGATTGATGAATGACCGGAAAACTGACCATTGAAGATTTGGATCCATCAAATATGCGCGAGGTCCCGGGTTCAAATCCCGGCTGGGCCCCTTGGTTTATATATTTTTTTGGTTACCTTTTGATTCTTTTTGATTGCATTTCTAGCATCATTTTCAATGAATTTCTTATGGAAAAATTTCAAAGGTAATAAAAATTCGAATGAATTTTTTTTTTTCATTGCAAAGATCAAAAGATTAGGAAAAAAAGATTGTCGGATTGATAACGGTTTTCATATTATGAATTAATTAACGATATACATTAATTAATCATCAAAATTTCCATATTTCAAATCATCATCATCATAATCATTTAAGCATCAGATTTTCAATCACAGCACAAACATCAAGGATGGTAATTGAATAAATGAATGAATGACGAGGTAAACATTTCATTTTGATTGAAAAATTGATCGAAGAATTGATTTAATTGAAAAAAAAAACAGAAAAATTGTTTTGTTTTTCAATGAAAAATCAAAAAAAAATCAAAGAAAAATCAAAAAAAAATCAAAGAAAAATCAAAAATCAAATTTTGAATTGAAATGTTTTGACGTAATTCATGATGATGATAATTATGATAATTAAGTAAGTGTAAGGTAAGTAAGTACACATAAAAACAACAACAAAAAACAAATAAATATGGAAAATCAAAAATCAAAAATCAAATTTGAATGATGATGATTGGTATTGACAGGTTGATTTTGATTTTGTTTTTTGTTCGTTGAAAATTCGTTCGTTTGAAGAATTCAAGATAAAATTCAAGATAAAATTCAACCTTTTTTGTGAAATTTTTTTTGTTGTTTTCGAAAAAAAAAGTTGCAAATTAATTGAAAAGTGTCGAATTTGAGAAGAAATTCGCGATAAGAGAGAGAAAGAGAAACTTCTAGCAAAAAAAAAAAAAAAAAATATAAAAAAAATCGATCGTTTAAAGCCGCGAAAACGAAGACGAAANTTTTTTTTGTTGTTTTCGAAAAAAAAAGTTGCAAATTAATTGAAAAGTGTCGAATTTGAGAAGAAATTCGCGAAAAGAGAGAGAAAGAGAAACTTCTAGAAAAAAAAAAAAAAAAAAAATATGAACAAAATCGATCGTTTACAACCGCGAAAACGAAGACGAATACACGACTTTGGCATAACTATGGCAAAACTTTGATTATGATCGCAGATGATGAAAAAAGAAAAAAAAGAAAAAAAATCCTGATGTTCATAATGATGATCATTTTCTTATTTACTTATCATCATCATCATCTAAACTTTATTTTTTCCTCGATCAAAGAAAAAAAATACAAATATATTTTTTCTTTTCAATTCATTTCAATCGTTCATGCAACCTGTTGGTTGGCTGGTTAAAAATCTTGCTTCAATTTGATTACAACATTTGGTTTTTTCCCATCTTTATTTCATCAAATCTGGTCATCGTTTGATCTGGATTTTTTCTTTCTTTTGATTGCTGGTCAAGCTTTTCTTTTACCTGTGTGTGTGCTATATTTGAAAGTTTCATGTAAAAAAGTGAATAATTTTCGACGAAAATTAACGATGAAAATCCTAATAGTTTTCATTGGTATAGTGCTTGTTGTCAATGGTCAAGAGAATTCTTTTTCAGTGAAACAAACGAATTCCATTGATCATCATAATGATGATGATAAACAACATCGATCCAATATTATCATGGATAAATCACCATCAAGTGTTGATGGTAAAAATCATGAAGACATCGATGATGATGAAGAAGACGAGGATGACGACGAAGAAGAATCAATATCCAGCCATGTTTTATCAATATCATATGAAATGGAATTATTACGTTCGAAAATATTTCGTGAATTTTCAACTATTAACCGACGACAACAACAACAACAACATGATGATCATCATAAATATGATGGTTATCAAGAAATTTTCAAACAAATTACCAAACCATTAAATGGTTTATTGAGAATTTTAATTAAACTACAATATGATCTATCTGAACAATGTGAATGGTCATTAATTGAATGGTTAAATTCATTAAATGAACAACAATTATGGGCATTTCAAATGTTTGATTCAAATGGTTTTATACCGAATTCTGGATTGTTATCCGGACCATTATCAAATTTTGGTTCATATGATCAATGTTTAGCAATTGATACGGGTAAAATTCGTGGACAATATTGTATGATTGAAACCAGATTATCACGATCATCATCAATGATGAACAAACAACAAAAATCTGAATTAATAGATTCTTCATTAAATCAATCAAATGAAACAATTTGGATGAATTTGGAAAAAAATCAACGATTATTACCAGCAGCACGTTGGTATATTAGTCTTTGTATTCCATCACAATGTACATCGAAAGACATTCAATATTTGATTGATGATCGAAAATTATTGGCCAAAGTTAAAAATTGTCATCATTCAGGTGATGATAATGATGGTGATTCCATTCGACAATCAATATTCATTACCAGTTTTGCCATTGTAATCATCATTTTGATTATCATTGATCGACGATATTTTCGACAAAATGCTACGAGCAATCAACAAAATGATCGAATTGAATCAATTATCGATTCAATTCGTTTGATTAATATTATTCTAATCATTTATTGGCATACTTATATATTTACATGGAAATCATCAATACGTTTATCATTAAAATTATTTGAAATTTTCAATAAATTATCACCAATACAATTAATGTTAATTGGTTGGCCATTAATGGAATCGATGCTGTTTCTGGAATCATTGCGTTTATCATATCGATTGTTTCGTTCATCTAATAAAAATTCTCGAATAAATTTTCAACAATTTTTTTATCATTTTATAAAAAGATGGTTAAATTTAGCTACGTTATTAATCATAATGTTTACAATAATTCCTTCGATTTCAAATGGACCACAATCATTTTTATCAACGGATCAACTGAATGAATGTCGTAATGAATGGTGGCAAATATTATTATTTATAATGAATTTAAATCCACAAAATAAATGTTTATCGCATTTATGGATTTTTGTTGTTGAATTTCAACTATTTTTACTTATCATACCGTTTATATATTTGATTCAACGAATAAAATTATCATCCAAAATTATAATCAGTATTGTTTCGATTACAATGATTACAACATGTACAATAATATCATCATTTTATTATCAATATAATGAAAATATTCAACAAATGATTCTTGGTACGATGCATTCGGAATTGGATTTTCAGGAAAATCTTTTCTCATTAAATATTTCACCATTATTTTATCTTTGTCCATATCTATTTGGAATACTATTTGGTTATTGGTTAACAATGAATACTGGTGATGATGATTCGAATGATAATAAATGGCCAAATCTTTCGCGAAGAATTAAAATTTCAATGGCAATCATATTGATTATGAGCATATCGATTTCATTTGTCATAATTTTCAATCAATCATTACATTGGAAACCATTTGCAGCAAGTATTATACTTGGTTTTTATCGTTTTATTTGGTCAATATGGTTAATTATTTTGATCATTTTTCTCGGCAATTCAAATGTAATTGGAAAATTTTTTCCATCAAAATCCAATATATTTCAATGGTTAAAATCATTATCGATTCAATCATATCTAATACATTATCTAGTGATTATGGTACGTGATTCAAAACGTCGTCAATCAATTGTATTCAATCATTGGAAAATGTTTGAAGAATTTTTACTTAATCTTCTAATAAGTTTATTATTAGCATCGATAATCAGATATTCATTCACCAAACCATTAAATCGAACCGTGAAATTTGTTTGGAAAAAATTATCGAAAACAATCACCAAGGAAAATAAATCCATTCCAGTAAAATCAAAATGTTCATCAATAAATTCATCATTATCCGGATCATATCAAGAAGTAACAAATATTGATGATAATGATACAAATGGTGATATCATTATTACAAATGGAACTGCCAACCAAATTACAAAACATCATCCATCGACATGTACAACAATTGAATTAACATCATTATTATCATCGCCATCACCGCCATCATCAGATTCGAATGGAAAAATGTGTTAGGAAACTCAGGATTTGTACAAAATTTCTATTCTTATTTTATTAACATTTAAATAAATAAAAGAAAAGAATCATTAAAAACATTGTATGAATCATTGGTAGAATTGACTTACTTTTTTTGTTTTGTTTCGAAATTTCGGATTCTAAAAATAGAATCCACGAAAAAAACCATGAAAGGAATCGAGAGTGAAAACAAAAATCATTCGTTCGTAAAACATGTTTGGGTAAAAATAGAATGCCATCATCATTTCGGAGGTTAAAAAAAATATTCTTGGCTTCGTTTGTTTTTGGTTGTTTGTTTTGATTCTTTTTGCGATTCAGGACATCATGATGGTTAAAGTGTTTTGTTGAACAAAAAAAAATGGATTTACGTTTGATTTCGTTGCTGTTATTATCGGTAAATATTTTCATAAAAATCGATAAAATCGAATCAACATCAGCATTACCACCACAAATTAATATTGGTGCTATATTTAAAAAAGATGATCATCATCTACTGAAAGCTTTACACGATATTATTGATCGTATTAATAATGATAAAAAAATTCTACCACGTACAAACTTGACGATAAAATCACAATTTATTCAATCAAGAGATAGTTTACGTGCTGCAAAATTGACATGTCAAATGTTAAAAGAAAAAGTATGGCTAATATTAACATCACGTTCCGATTCGGCAAATCGTTTTGCACGTTCAACTGCGGATATGTTACATATACCACATCTATCGATACAATGGGATTATCGTTCTGCTTATATTGATAATATAAATTTTCAACAACAACCAAATAATCAAAAACCAGATTCATCATCATCATCATTGATTTTTGATGATCCAGCATCAATGTTGATACGTGGTCCAAATGGTGGTTTCTATATGGATCCATTCGTATCGGGTAATGCTGAAACTGGTTTTCGTTTTTCATCATCTTCAGCAAAAAAACAACAAACCTATCGACAACGACAACCAACATCAAATTATCAACAACAAAAAACAATAACAAATATTCATCATTTAACATTGAATATTTATCCAGATGCAACCGAATTATCTGAAGCGTTAAAAGATTTTGTTGAAACACGTTCATGGAAATCATTTACATTAATTTATGATAGTGATGATGCATTAATACGTTGTAAAGATCTTCTGACATTAGCTAATCAATCCAAACCAGGACGGCCAAAAATGAAAATATCTGTATTGAATTTTGTTGAATTTGATGCAATGGCAAGATTACAAACAAAAATGTTACAACAACAACAACAAAAACGTCGTCGACGTCGTCGTCGTAGTCGACAAGATAATCAAACAACAATCAACGATAATATAAATCGTGGTGCATCATATTATCATCGTAATCGTTATCGTCCATATAATCCAATGCAACAAGATCAATTATTACATTATCAACAACGACAACGGCAACAACAACAACAAAAATGGTCAATAAATTTAGATGATTTAGAACAACAAATGCAACAATATGTTTATATGAAATTATGGAAAGAAATAAAATCATCGGAACATAATTTTATATTAAGTTTACGTTTTGATCGTGTACTAGATATATTACGTGAAGCAAGAAAAATGAAAAGAATGAGTGAATATGATAATTATTTCGTTATTACAATGGATTTGCATATGTATGATTTAAATGAATTTCAAAATCTTGAACCATTACCAAATATAACAGCATTATCGGTGGTCAGTGCACAAGGACAGGAAATAAATTTAGGTACAACTGATGAACTGTTTGCACGTGGTGGTGGAGGTGATTTTTATCCATCATTATCATTGGCTACCGGTAATAATGGATTACGTACGACGAAAAAACTAAGCACAGATGAAGCATTAATCTATGATGCAATGACATTATTTGCACGTGCATTAGATGATTTAGATCGATCACAACCAGAATTGATTGTTGAACCATTTGTTGAATGTGATTTATTAACAAATAATTCTCCTTCTAGTTCCAGTGTTAATGATGATAATAATAATCAAGATCGATATTATCAACAACCATGGCCATTAGGTATACATATTATTGATTATATGAAAAATTTACGTAGTCGTGGTGTAACCGGATCAATAATGTTTAATGATCAAGGTTTAAGGGTTAATTTTACATTGGATGTTTTACAATTAAAACCTGATGGTTTGAAAACGGTTGCAAAATGGACACGTTCAGATGGAATTGTTTCACTATCGAATTATACATTTTATGATTCATATCGTGAAATATTAGAAGCAATGAAATTTAAAGAATTATTAATAACCGTACCACCATCATCAATACCATATGTATCATTACGTGAAGATCATGAAAATTATTCTGGTAATGATAAATTTTATGGTTTTTGTGTTGATCTTTTACAAGAAATTGCACAAGTATTTCGACAAGATTTTCAAAGTGATTTTAAATATGTTATACAAATATCACAAGATGGACAATATGGTCGTCCGGATAAAGAAACTGGTGAATGGAATGGTATGTTTGGTGAATTGATTCGTCATCAAGCAGATTTAGCTATAGCCGATTTAACTGCCACCTATCTTCGTGAAACAGCAGTTGATTTTACAATGCCATTTATGAATCTGGGTATTGCAATATTGTTTAAAAAACCAAGTGCACCTGAACCGGAAATGTTTTCATTTTTAAAACCATTTTCCGTTGAAGTTTGGTTATATTTAGCAAGTGCATTTTTAGGTATATCATTAATGTTGTGGATAATGTCAAGAATATCACCATATGAATGGGAAGCACCACATGGTTGTGATCCTGACCCGATTGAATTATGTAATCAATTTTCAATTGGTAATAGTCTTTGGTTTACAATTGTAAGTGTATTATTGCAAAAGCAAAATGAATTTGAATAATTCCCTGTTTAACCCGGTTTTTTCTTTATTTCCAAAAACAACGAAAATAGGGTTCACTTATGCAACAAGGTTCAGATTTAGGACCAAAAGCATTATCAACACGTTGTTTAGCAACAATTTGGTGGTTTTTTACATTAATCATTATATCATCTTATACAGCTAATTTAGCTGCATCATTAACATTGTCAAGAATGGCACCTGCAATATCATCGGTTGAAGATCTAGCTAAACAAACATCAATTCTTTATGGTTGTCGTAAAGGTGGTTCAACATGGGAATTTTTTGCACAATCAAATAATACTATTTATCAACGAATGTTTAACACGATGGAAGCTAATCCTGAAGTTTATATTAATAAAGTTACCGATGCTATTGAACGTGTACGTAAAGGTGGTTATGCATATTTAGCTGAATCATCAACAATCGAATATCTTATTCAACGACGTTGTGATTTAATACAGGTTGGTAATTGGTTAGATAATAAAGGTTATGGAATTGCAACACCACCTGATTCACCATATCGTACACCAATTTCGAATGCAATCACAGTATTACAGGATCGTGGTACATTGTATCAACTGAAAAAACGTTGGTGGGTTGAAAAAGGTGGTGGTCTTTGTACTGATGATGTTATATTTACATCGGCTGCTGAATTAGAAATTGAAAATCTTGGTGGTGTTTTTCTTGTACTAACTGTTGGTGTTGCTATTGGTTTATCGTGTGGTTTTATTGAATTTGTATGGAAATCATTAAAAATTGCACGTGATGAACGTGAATCAATTGGGAAATTAATCTGGTTGGAAATGTTTCGTATTTGCACGGGTGGTGGATCATCACGTCCTGCATTTCAACCATCATCATCAACAATCAATATGACTACATTGGATCAACCAAATTCAAATCAAAATGATAATGATAATGATGATTCACCAAGATTATCAACATATCATCAACATCAACGTACAAGACCATTTTCAAAAACATCATCATTTACATCAAATTCAATGGCACAATTTGATAATAATAATTATTATCTACCATCACCAACAGCTATTACTGAAAATATTGATAATATTGTTGGTGGTAGTGGTCAACCAAACTCTGATTATGGATCACCATTACGTATGCGACCAACATCATCATCAAATCGTCGTAATAAAACAATGAATCCAGATTCACCATCAATAATGTCACCATTAATATCGATGAATTCAACAAAATCATTGAATAAATTAAATAATAATCAAAATAATAGTAAAATGGCATTTGGATCACCAACATCATTCAAATCACAACAACCATATAATATGTATTGAGATAATGAAAAATTCTTTTAATCGTTTGTTTTTGTTTTTTGGCTTTTAAAAAAAATTTGATTTGGAATAAAAAAAATTTGAATTTCCTTCGGATATCGGATATCGATTGTTCGATATCGAACAATCGATTCGAACGTTTTTTGATTGTTCGAATCATCAAATCATTTACGTCTTGGCCATGTACCTTCGGTCATACGGAAAAAAATTTCATCATTATTGGTTCTATCATTACGTTGATGTTGATTTCTAGTTGATCCACCATGATTAGTCATCGAATCGTTTGATCGTTGATTTGATAAACGTTGTTGCTGTTGTGGTTGACCATTTCGTTGCTGTTGTCCATTTGGTTGCTGTTGTGAACGATTATTCGTTGACCGATTATCATTGAACGAACTGTTGCTACGATTACTATTCATCATATGAAATTTAGCTGCTTGTGGTTTGTTCAGTCAAAAATCAAATCAATCAACAAACGATAAATGATATTTTGATGACCAAATGTTTTTCGATTTATATATGAAACATTCAACAATAATCATCAACCAACAACAACCAGCAACAAAAATGATAATATTGATACAATGTATTTTTTGTGTATTGAAAAACTCTACCAACAAGTAGAGTAGTTCATCGACACCGGATATTTTAATTGACAAATTGACAATAATAATAACAACAAAATTAATGTCTAGACATTATTATTACATGATCGAATTAGATACAATGTATCTCTGCGAAAATCAAATCAATTGGCAAACAAAAAAGCAATAAAATCATCATCAATTGAATTTATCATTCCGAAAAGAACTGCATCAGAAAAACGAAGAAGAAATTCATCATTAATAATCATCAATCAAATTTTTTTTCTTCCAATTAACTGATTATCATCATTATCATTTCGTTTTGAATATTCATGATCCTCATTGTTGAATTCCAATGAATTTTTCGTCCAGTTATCATTTCAATTCAAATCAAGTTTATTAAAATCAAAAAGAAAATCTTGGATTTTTTTTCTTGAAAAATACTGCCATTAGATGGCGACACGATATTTACCAAAATTCAAAAAAAACAACGATAATCAAACAAGGTAAGATAATTAACTAATTTCTTTTCTTTCATTTTTCTTTCTTCTCCCAATAGATCAATGAAACTCGAACAGAAAAGTTGAAAGAAAAACAAATGGAAACATAATTGATAATTGAATCATGTGATCTGGACTCTTATTTCATTTCCAAAAAAGTTTGATTCAATCGATAATCGATACCAAAAAATTAATTTTTTTCCTAATCAAATTTTGATAAAATCCAAACTTTTTCTGTTATTGTTTTTTTCAATTTGATTATGGATTCTTAACAGAAATTATGTACTGAAAATGGTTGTTTTCGAAAAAAACATCCACTCATCCGTCTATAAAAAAAAAATGAAGAATTAGGAATGTTTTTTAGGCACGAATTCTTTTTCTACAACAAACAAACAATGATAATCATTGAATGTCAAATTGTATTATCATCATCCACATTATCATTGTTATAAATAAGAAAAACATTCAACAAGAAAATAATTTATGGATTCACATATGATGATCATTGTGTGCAATGTAAGTTTGTATTCACTACACATTGGTTTGCACCAAAAAGAAAAAGATTTTCGACCTTTTTCATCAATTTATGAGATGAATTTGCTCTTCTTTTCATCTAAACATTCACATTTCAATAAAGCTAATGGAATTGAATAAGTTTTATTCACAACAAACAACAANAAAAAAAAAAAAAAGATTTTCGACCTTTTTCATCAATTTATGAGATGAATTTTTTTTTCTACCCACTATAGTTATTTGCCCTTCTTTTCATCTAAACATCCAACTATATTCATTCACATTCACATTTCAATAAAGCTAATGGAATTGAATAAGTTTTATTCACAACAAACAACAAACACGTTTCACAGAATTTTTTTTTCCAACTCAATTCTCTTTTCCAAATGATTGATTTTCATTGTGAAAAAAAAAAGAAAAATTCATTTCGTTCATTCTTGTTCTCATTATCATATGATTTGACCGAAATTTTTTTTTTGAAAAAACTTTTCAAAAAAAAATGATAACTGCTTCAAGGTGTAAAGATGTTCATCAAGAAATCTGGAGATTTTTTTCGGGTTTAAAAAAAATTCACACTTGATTGAATAATGTGGATGCAATCAAAATTTTTTTGTTTTGCCTCTAAGGCTTGTTGAATTTTTCATCAATTTTCACGTACTAGGTTTTTGTTTTGTTTTGTTTAGAATTTGCAATAGAAACTAGAAGGAAATTAAGCCTTGCTTTGTTTACGTGATTTTTAAAAATTTTTAAAAGTTTTTCTTTGTGGATTTTTTTACAAAAATCAACCTGGGAAATAACAACCTTGGCCATCCACCGACCGGAATAGAATTTTTTAGAAAAAAAAAATTAAAGAAACATAAAACAGCAATCTGAATCTGAATACGTTGTTGTTGTTTGTTAAGAATTTTTAATGACAATTTTTATCTTTCTATGCGTTTTTTTCACTAATTTTGCTTTTGTTATTGAATTTAATTAACGATGACTGAATTTTTTTTATATTTATTTCGTGATTTGAATTTTATTTTGGATTTTTGNTTTCATCAATTTATGAGATGAATTTTTTTTTCTACCCACTATAGTTATTTGCCCTTCTTTTCATCTAAACATCCAACTATATTCATTCACATTCACATTTCAATAAAGCTAATGGAATTGAATAAGTTTTATTCACAACAAACAACAACAACAAACACGTTTCACAGAATTTTTTTTTCCAACTTAATTCTCTTTTCCAAATGATTGATTTTCATTGTGAAAAAAAAAAGAAAAATTCAGTTCATTCATTCTTGTTCTCATTATCATATGATTTGACCGAAATTTTTTTCGAAAAGACTTTTCAAAAAATGATAACTGCTTCAAGGTGTAAATGGGATGTTCATCAAGAAATTCAGAGATTTTTTTCGGATTTAAAAATCAAAAAATTCACATTTGATTGAATAATGTGGATGCAATCAAAATTTTTTTATCATTTTTTTTTGTTTTGCCTTTAAGGCTTGTTGAATTTTTCATCAATTTTCACGTACAAGGTTTTTGTTTTGTTTATGTTTTGTTCAAAGTTTGCAAAGAAATTAGCCTTGTCTTGATTACGTGATTTTTTAAAATTTTTAAAAGTTTTTCTTTGTGGATTTTCTTTTGCCAAAAAAATCAACCTGGGAAAAGAACAACCTGGCCATCCACCGACCGGAATAGAATTTTTTCGAAAAAAAAAATTTAAAGAAACATAAAACAACAATCTGAATCTGAATACGTTGTTGTTTGTTAAGAATTTTTAATGACAATTTTTATCTTTCTATGCGTTTTTTTCACTAATTTTGCTTTTGTTATTGAATTTAATTAACGATGACTGAATTTTTTTTATATTTATTTCGTGATTTGAATTTTATTTTGGATTTTTGAAAATTCCAAATAAAAAAAAAACAAATGGAACGTTTAGCGATGAATTGTTGATGAGTTTGTTTTGTGAGTGAAAATATAAACATTTTTCGGTTCTATGAATGTTTTGCTTTCAAATTCATTTTCTGTTTTGTTAATTAATTATTTGGAAGAAATAACACAACAGAATTACAAAGGGTTTTTTGTTTATTTTCAAACGAAACTTGGTGCAAATTTTCGAGTTTTTTTCAAGTTTTGAAAAATTAAACTAAATAACTAAATAGGATGATTTATGAATGAAATTCAAAATGATGGTGGTGGCGCCAAATATTGACACATTTGGAATATTCCAGAAACAAAAACAACAGGCTTTTTTCTTTGGAAAGTTTCCTTCCTTCAAAAAAAATGTGTTTCAAAATCGATACTGTAGCCAATGACGACGACCACGACGAATCAAAAAAATTGGATACATATTGCAATGGGCATGCGCATTACTTTTTTTTGATATTACCTTTTGACAGAATGAATTAATTTTGTAAATTTATTTGAAAAAATTTTAAAAAAATTAAAATTTAAAATTTATTATCAATTTATTAATTTCAGTCTATACCAAGGAAACAAACGAAAATTATTTACAAAATGCAAATGAAAAGTGGATAAAAAAGGCAATGAATTTTTTCGGAAGAAAAAAAACAACGATAACAAAAACAAACAACAGCAGCAGCAGAATTTTCAAAAACAACAATGGTTGTTATGAGAGAGAGAGAGAGAGAGAGAGAGAGAGAGAGAGAGAGAGAGAGAGAG